AGGCATTTATTAAAAATTTGCATTCTATTTGTGCGCCTTTACACCGACTAACGAGTAAAAATGTTGGTTGGTTTTGGTCAGCTAAAGAAAATAAAATATTTACTAAAGTTAAAAATATATTGTCAAAAGAAGATACAATAATTCCTTATTCAGCCGATATCCCTGTCGTGATTTCTTGTGACGCTTCCGAAGATGGTCTAGGAGCTGTTATTGCACACCGATTTCTTACTGGCCAGGAGAAACCGATTGCTTACGCATCGAGGACACTTTCGGCGGCTGAAAAAAATTATGCCACAATTGATCGGGAGGCTTCGGCGATCATGTTCGCTATCGAGAAGTTTCATCAATATATTTTTGGAAGACATTTTATCTTGGTTACTGATCATAAACCATTACAATATATTTTAGGTGATAAAAGAGATCTTAACAAAATAACAAATAACCGTTTAATACGGTGGGCGACGAAGCTATTAAATTATGATTATGAGATAATATATAGACCAGGTAATCAAAACAAATGTGCCGATGCTCTGTCCCGTTTGGGGGTAGAGAAAGCAAAAACCAATGAAATTACAAAAAAATTCGAAGAAGAAATCAGAGGATTAAAAATTAATTTAATAGAAGATTTATCCTTCACTCGCAGTAAAGTCGTAAGTGAAACGAGCAATGATATAAACCTAAAAGAGATTATTAAATTAATAAAAATCATTGGTATATTGATAATATAAATAATTATTCGGAGATTGTAAAAAAATATATTGCGATTAAAGATAATATTTCGTTCGAAGAAGGATTATTATTTTATAATGATAGAATTATTATTCCAGATATTTTAAAAAAGGAGGTTTTAAATGTGATTCATCGAGGACATCCTGGGATAGTGGGGATGAAATCATTGTGTAGATATTACGTTTTTTGGACAAATCTCGATACTGATGTTGAAGACTTTGTTAAATGTTGTAAGAGTTGTCAAGAAGGAAGGCCGGGAGCTAAAGAAGTGCCATTATACAATTGAAACATTCCTACCCGACCTTGGGAACGAATACACATTGATTTGACAGGCCCCGTATCTGGAAAGTATTGGTTAATTTGCGTAGACGCTTTTACCAAATGGGTTGAAGTTGCAATTTTAACACATATTAATTCGGCGAGTGTAATAAATAATCTGCGTAATTATTTCGCTAGATTTGGGTTACCTCGCTACATTGTCTCAGATAACGGTACTCAGTTTACTGGATCTGAATTCAAAACGTTTCTTTTTAAAAACAATATAAAACATTTTAGATCGACCCCTTATAGCCCCAAATCGAATGGTTTGGCTGAACGATATATACGGACGATAAAGACGCGTTTCTATGCTGGAAGGAGATGTGGGACTCCGGACCAGTTAAATTTAGCGAATGTTTTAATTACTCACCGTAATACTCCCAATGCAACTACTGGTAAATCCCCTGCCGAGATGATGTTTGGAAGATCGCTTAGGACGACATTAGATCAGTGGAAATTATCAACGAGAGAAAGGACGGAAAACGCTCTATGGAAACAAAAGTACTACAAAGATAGAAATGTTGAACCTCGGGAGTTTGAAGAGCAGCAAAAAATTTGGATAGCAAACGAAAGGACAGCAGGGTGGCATCAAGGAAAAGTGTTACAACGAAAAAGCGCAATATTGTACGATGTGGAATCAGAGGGGATCGTTAAAAACAAGCATGCAGATCAATTGAGGGATGCACATACACAAGAGAAGAAAATACCCGTTACGTTGACCGAAGAAGTGGAAAAGGCAGAACATGAGAATACAACTCTTGAAAAAAGAGTTTCGAAACCTCCACTACGTTATCACGATGTATTCAATTTATAGTGGGGAGAACTGATATAAATGTAATTGTAAATTGAATTTAAATTGAATTGAATATAATATTAACTTTTCGTTTGTAAATTACATAACCTGAAGGATTGAATTCATTATATATATACGTGATATTTTGTATTAAAGATACTTTTACTTACTTTACTTATTTAATAAAACACTTTACTTATCATTAGACGTATTACCTTCTATCTCAAATCTCCCTTCTTCATACCTTAATTACCATCAACTCTCCAACTTAAAATAAACTAAAAAACCATAAAGCATGTGATCATGATGGTATCCATAGTGAATTTCTAAAAACAGATCCTAAACTTTATGCTGAGATTTTTATTCCAATTATAATAAAATTTGGCATGAGGGAACATGTCGGACCAATTGGCTCACAGCAATTTTAATTAATTTTCCCCAAAATAAAAATTTATAATATCTTAAAGACTGGAGAGGTATATCACTAAATTCACCGGTATATAAAATTTTTACTTATAATATATTAAATAGATTAAACCCTATTGAACCTAATTAGACAATTAGAAAAGGTCATAACGCTCTCGAGGCCATTATAACTCTAAAAATTCAAATTGAAAGGGCTAAAAAGGAAGAATTAACTTTTTATTGTAGCTTTAGATTTCCTCACTTTTCTATGAAATAGAAACATGGAATAGAAACATGGAATAGAAACATGGAATAGAAACATGGAATAGAAACATGAAATGTTGCTGTTTCATATATTAATAAGATGCAATCTTTTATCAACAAATGCTAAAGATATATTACCAAAACCTTTTATTCATTATATACACAGAGTTCTATGGGCTAGATGTAATAATCTTCCAGTTTATAATTAATTGAATAAATTAAAATAGAATTAATGGAACATGTCCTTAGACAAGCCCCTAATAACCTAATCTACAAAGCACTTGATAAAATTTTCCCTGAAGAATCATCCCTTAAACCATTCTTATCCTATAAAAATGCTGTTTTTGCAAAATGTCTAAATCCCTAGCTGATATGGATCTTTCTTAGGAGCTGCTACAAATAGGCGTCTATTCAAGAAGATGAATCTAATTTATGACCATCTAACGAATAACTGTTGATAGTAAAGTAATTTTATTATTTAAAGTTATAACTTAAATATCTTCTTATATTGATGATTTATTAATTATATATAAATCAAAATATAAATATTATTGATCCTTAAATCTAATTATTATCATTAGAGTAATTAATATTATCTAATACTTATAAAATAAATTAATAATAGTTAATATAAAAACAATTATATTAATTTAATATCTACGTATCTTTAATCAAATTTTAATTAAATAATAATTATTAAATTAATTTCCTTAGATTTTATAAATATTTTTGAGGACTTTATATATTCTTATAATAAATACTACTACTTTAAATATTTGTAATGAATAAAAATTGTAAAAATACAATATGTGAATTATATATAATTAAAGTATTATAAAAAAATAAAAAGAATTGTCAATGCTAATGGAAAATTTATCACAATTGATATTGGAAATATAATATTTTCCTCTATGGTTATAAGATTTTTAATGATATGGGTGGGTCTAGTATATAAAAATGGTTTAACATGTTGTAATGTAAAATAAAAATAAATATAGATAGAATTACCAATAAACAACGGGGGAGAAAGATAAAAACATAACGCATAAAACGACAAATTATGGATCTGTTAATGGTTAATATTAAAATCATGCTAGAAAGAAAAATGATTATTTAGGATACATAATTTTCGCTCACATGTTATTGAAAAACAACTTTTTATCATACACATTTTTGCAAGAATAATATTATCCAATTCTGCTAATTTTAAATATCCACAATATTTTATAAACATTTAATCATTATTTATGTATTATCACATCAGAGGAATCAATATAATTGTCATAATTGGGATTTTGATTTGTAAAATTTGATTTTTGGTAAAGTCATTATGTATCGCGTTTGGTAAGTTATTTTTATTTTTATAATTTTATGTTTTAGTTTAATTGCGTTAACCTTTTATTTTTAGATTTATAAAATTTGATTATTGTAAAGTCATTATAATTATGATTATTAATTTTTTAAAAATGTATTTTTAGTTTATAATGTGAATTTTCGGCATGATTAGGTGCTTTGTAATTTTTAAAAAATGTATTTTTAACTTTAATTTAAAATTATTTTTTAAATTTATTCGCTTAAAATTGTAATATTTCAATTCATTTTTTTTTTTTCATTATTTTCTTTTTTGATTATAAAAATTCGTTTCTTTTTATGTTTAAAAAAGTTAAAATAAAAGGAATTCTTGTGTAATATTCCCTACTGTGTCATATTCCTCAAAGAAACGGCACAACGTGATAGTTGGTGCCGTGGACCAAAACCAAAAATAGAAGGTAAAAACAAAATTTTTCTTTGATATTATATTTTTATTTTGTGGAAAATCTGTGGAGCACTGTGGTTATTGGACTTTGTAGTAGAAATAGTGACCATAAATTATTAGTAGTAGCGAAGAATTGAAACAAGTGGCCGTCAATTATTAGGTGTAGTAGCGAAGAATTGTAAACAAGTAACCGTCAATTATTAGAATTAGTAGCGAAGAATTGTGAAACAAGTGACCGTCATTATTGGAAGTAGTAATGAAAAAGGTGTAAATCAGGGTTATGTACTGTTACATCATTTTAGTGTTAATTTTACTAATTATTTCCTATTGTTTAACGTTGCAAGTAGTAAAAATATTCTTGGTAAAGATTTTTTTTTCGAGATTTAAATATTTAAAAATTTTAAATGAAGAGTTTTAAAACAACAAAATATGTGGAGTTACAGACAATATACTGCGGGCCGTGATTGTATTGGTGATATGGTTGCGCAGTTTATACTAAGGAAGAAAAATAGGAAGAGAAAGAAATATTAGAATACGTGCACATTCATTATTGGTGGAAGGGCATAATGGTGAAGATGATAGATTGGGGAGAGTAACGTGGTTACCGGTGCAAGAGATAATGAAAGGATGGGTGAATGATGATGAAATTGGGAGGATAAACAATGAAAATGACGATGAGAGAAGTATGACCGTTTACCGAGGACGTAGAGTATTGAGGCGTTGAGAGGCAGAAATATGGTTTGTTACAAATTTGGTGTAAAGGGGCATATAGCGATTAACTGTCGAAATATGAAATGCTTTGAATGTGGTCAGAGTAGTCACATTTCAACATTTTGTCCAAGTAAACATGACCGAGTGAGATGCGCTGAATGTGGTAGATTTGGACATAGGAAGGAAGATTGTAATATGGGAAATAACGAGAAAAGGGTTTCCACAGAGGGGAGAAAGTTCAAATGCGATCAATGTGAGGAGTGTGGCGGGGGTAGCATCAAAAGGCGAAAATAAAATCATGTTTTAAATGCCGAAGAGAAGGACATTAGGCGAGAGATTGCGAGAGGGGACGACTATATAGTTGTGAGGAAAAGAGAATTCAGGCTGAGGAGTTGAGAACGGAGAGGAGAGAAATGGTTGTGAAGATGTTGTGGGAGGATGATAAAGAGGAACAAGTATATCTTCAGAGTCCGAAAGTGTGGTTTAATATAAATGGGAAGATGATATCTATGTTGTTTGATACAGGCGCGGCCATTTCGGTGATGGGATATGAAGATTTTAGGAGATTTTGCCGAATAGTGCAATAATGATAGAGAAAATTAGAGTAAGACAGTTTGATGGATCTGAAATGGAGATGATGAAAAGAGTGCAAATAGATAAGGAAGCAAAATTGTAATATTTCAATTCATTTTTTTTGAATTCATTATTTTCTTTTCTATTTTATTTTTAGTTAATAAAAATTCATTTTTTTGAATTCATTATTTTCTTTTTCTGTTTTATTTTTAAAAATTCATATTTTTCGTGATTATAAAATTTAATTCGTTTTATTTTTTGATTGTAATAATTTGGCATTTGAATAAAAAAAATATATTCTAAATTGTGTAGTATTCTCGATGGCACAATGTCAAAATAATATTTATGTAATATGAATTAATAATTATATTTCATTTAATATAATAATAGTTTAAATCTTTAATACAATTATATTTAAAATAATTTGATATTCGACTTTTTTATTATTTTTAAAAAAAATATTATAAAATAAATTATATAATTTACAGAGGATTAAAAAATATATATTAAAATGGATACTATAAAAAAAATATATATATATATTAAAAAAAGGTGGGTATATATCATCCAAGAGAAGAATGAATGCTTAAAAAATTAGACCGGCAAATTTCCAGGGAAATCTGCTGGCGAAGGTAAAATCCTTCATTGGGGTCCCCTAAGATCTGTCTCATTTTTTTCCCTATGATTTTGATGAAATTGAGGGCCTCGTTTCCAAACATGCCTAGGGTATTGGTAACGATAGGAATGAACAAAGTGTTGGCGAGGCCAGCGTATTTATTTTTTTTAAGGATTTCTGCCTTTTCGATAGCAGAAAATGAGAGGTTAGATGGCTGCAAAATCAACGCAAGTGTAATCCCATGTTAGCGGATAATTAGAATAAGAAAATATAGATTCGATAATATTTACGGAAGATGGCGCATTTTATTAAAACAAAAATCAAAGGTAATATAAGATGTTATTTCACTCATTATCTATAAAAAAAATGATCCTAACAAATTATGTTTAAATTACTAGATTTCAAAATATATTTCAAATGCCTAGGTAAATTGTAAATGCTGCGATTATTTAAATAGTCTATTCAAGTTCAATATTCTATACTTAAAATATAAATGTTATTAAAATTAAATTACTATATATATTAGTGATCTGCATCGGGCCTAATTTTGCAGATCTCTAATATATATTTAAAAATAATGTAATATAAATTAATAATATTTAATTAATGTAATAAGGTTTTAAATATCATTATATTCAAAATAATTGGAATAAGATAATAGGAAATAAATAATATGGTTAGTTAAGTGATTAAAGTTGAGATTAAAAGGGTCGTCAGATATGAAGTAGGGCGGATATCATAGTTGCTTACTCACCTTTTTAAAAGGGTTTAAATTTTTATAATATGGAGTACACAATACTAATATCATATTTTTTATTTTAAAAATTTTATAATCCTTTATTTGCTTCAAAAGTAGCAAATTTCTAAATTTGAATCAGAAAAGTAGCCACACTTCTCGCTAAATCCTGTTTAGCAAAACTAAACAAGTACTCAACATGAGCATTAGAAGGAAGGATATTTTTATAAAAATATTTTTTAAATTTAATTATCAAATATATTTGGTGTGGCATCCAGGCCCAGCCCGCATTTAGTATTAAAAAAAAATCCCGAAAGCGGCTCAAGCCCATTAAATTATTTTATATATACTTATGTTGATATAATAATAATGGAAATATAATATTTTATTAGTAATCATTATATAATATTTAAGTATAATATACAAAATTTTGATCTATATTTTCATTTAAAAATAATATTATCAACAATTGCTTTATCATTTTTTTGAATAAAAAGAAGAAAATTTTATTATCAATTTGATTTGTTATGTCTAGATAAATGTGAATACCCTACTTTCCGTGAATATGTCTTGACATTTTTAACATTGAATCAATTTAATTTTTTGATTATGATTATCTATTATTATATCCTGAGAATACATATAAATTGTTTTATGCCATTTTTTATTTATTTTAATATAACTATTATACATAATATAAATTTTATTAAAGCAATAAAAACAAAATTAGCACTCTTCAACATATGTAGAATTGTGTATTGTTATATTTGTCCTATCAAATATCCTTAAAATAAGCTAAATTTAAAAGTTAAAATTTTAGACCCAAGCCCAGCCCATTAAAAAAATTTCAAAAACAAATCCGTCCTGCAAGAAAATATAATATTAGCTGCGAGAAAGAGAGTTAAGCAAAAACATGAGGTTTAAAGTTACGGTTTTTGTACTCTTAAAACCTTAGAAGGTTAAGTTATGATATGGCTTACTACTAAGACCTAAATATCGATCATTCAAATTATCTAATTTCGATTTTGCCTTTTAGAAATTGTTTATAAAAGTATTTTTGCCAAATTTATTTTTCTATTCAAATAATTCTAAAAAGAAATGGAATATTATTTGTAATTTACGAGATCTACTTAAAGATTAATATCATATCGTAATTAAAACTAATAGACTTTCACTCAAGCAATATTTCAAATTTGATAAATATTTGTGTTTTAGAGCATTTGAGCTATAGGTTGGCATAACCGAGTCCATAAGCAAGGCAAAAATATTTTTGGGATAGACAATTTGCAAAATATCTCGAAAACTAATGAAAATATTTTCAAAGTTGAAAAATTAAAGTCGATTTTCTTTATAAAATTTTACAGTACAATTTCTACAAAATATATTTCAAAGTACAGGTAAAAATAATTATGGGCAGGGCCGAAAAATCAGATACAAAAAAATTTCCACAAACAGGTCCGGACACCCTTGCATAAAAAAATTGATGGGTTATAAAATATGAGGTATTTTTTAATAGCGAATTGAATAATTTGAAAACGTGCTATTCTAGCTTCAGATAAATTTAAATTAAATACCAAATTAAGAAGTTCTTTAAAAAGGGCTAGTAATTTATTAAATAACAAAAATGTTCGTCTTTAAGAATTTACCATGTAAAAAAACTATATTTATTGAAAAATATTTTGACAGATAAAGTAAAAAATTTGTTTCTTTATAAAATTTTTATTGTTAAAAAATATAATTATTTTTAGTAGAAAGTAGTTATTGCAGTAAGGGAAAAATTTTCACCATTAGTGATATGGTTTGGCATTACATCTTATATAAAAAATATTAAATCACCTGTAAAAATAAGTTTGATATATATTTTAAAATCAGGGTTGAGAACCCGAAGCCTTGACGGAATTTTTTTTTAAAATTTATGGTTCAGGTTCTAAGCATTTTTTTAATTTTTATTTTTAAACTTTTATTTTAAAAATATGTTAATTGTAATATAATATAAAAACATTTAATTTAATTTTAAACAATTGTTTTCTTATTTAAAAAAAACATTTTTTGATCATTTTTTCAAATTTGATATTCAATTAAACAACTAAACATTATAACAACCGATAATGGTGCGAATTTAATCAAAACCAGATGTTGAAAGATTTAACTCCAAATGTTTATAGCATTCGATGTGCACAACACACATTAGAGATAATCGTTAATAATTTTAGAGACAAGTTATGCAAAATCAATTATTGACCCGAGAAAGGCAAGTGGTAAAATTTTTAAAAACTACAACGATCGTTAGAATCTTGAAATTACTGAAATAACCTAAGGCAAAAATTGATTGTACAAGATGGCCATCATTTTACGATATCCTGGATCGATTGTTAAAATTGAAAGATTTTTGTTTGGACTTTGTTACAACATCGTAGGTTATTTTATAGGAAATAAAATGGGATTCAATGGCTATCATAGCTGAAGTTTCGGAACAAATTAAGATGACAACCTTGCAGAATTGGAAAAAATAGACAATAATATTTCGAATGAGATAATAGGGCATATGAGAAAGGATACTTATTTAAATAATAATATTCTTTATGCATCACTACATTTAGACCACAGATATCAAATCCTCTAACCATTGATCAGGAAGAGGTTGCTAGAGCTCATTTAACGGAATTACGGGGAAAACATATATTATTGAATGCATCAACATTAATTTCAGCTATAAATGATCTTGATGATTTTAAAAAATTGCTATTAGCAAAAGAAAAAAATAAATTTATTAACACACATCAAAGTGAACAGATTCAAATGGTCTTATTATTATAAATTTTTATACACATTAAAAGAATTAATAAGGATACAAATATCTAGACTTTTTGGAAAAGAATAGCTTAATTTATCAGAATTATACACGTTGGCAAAAATTGTTCTAGGTGTCCTAGCAATACAAATATATATTATATTAAACATTACTAGGTTAATTTGAACGATCATTCTCATTATTAAAATTTTTATTGTAGGACCTAAGTGGAAGTCTTAATGGCGATATTTTAGATGATATAATTCGCTAAATAAAATTTTTAAAATAGAAATATAAAATATTTAATTTTATTGCAGTATTATATATATTATGTATATGATGATAAATTATTTTTATGTCAATATTAATTAAAATAAATTTTTAAAAAAAATGATGTTTTGGTAATTTAATTAAATTTTATAAGTCATCATTTTTCTGGTCACCCTGAGTCCGAGCCGTGTTTAGAGATTTTACACTAAACCCAAGCCTGAATTTATTTTTAGGAGGGCTCACAGCCGTTGAAAATAATTAAGTCTTATAATACTATTTTGAGCTTTATTGTAATTTATAAATTAAGTAGTGCGATATTTTTCCATAAAATGTTTCATTTTTTAAATTAATGTGGTACTTTTAAAAAGTGATATGAATTATCTCACAAAAGGCTTCAATTTGTAGGTAATATGCTTTAGTAATACTCAGAAATGGTTTTAAATATTGGAGCTAATAAGTTGATAAATTGCAAGAAAAAAAAAATTCACCTAAATCCTTAGCACCTTGCATCATTAATAATTAGCCAATTTTTAATCTATAGATATTAAATTATAAGTAATGCTGTAAAGTAACGGTGTTACAATTTGAGGAAAATATGCTATTTGATTTAAAAGGTAACTGTCCTAGTTTGTAATAGTTATTGTTGATATTTAATTTAATAATTAAAATGTCAATCAAAAAATCATTTTTATTTTATTTTGTTAAAAAAATCCCTTATGTGTTTTATGATATAAATTATGGGAACATATTTTCTTCGATTAACAAAACAAGACATATTTTTTTCGTTATGACTTTTGTTTTTATTGATAAAAGCAGGGATGTGAACCCGGACCCGGACCCTGAACCCTCGTATTTTGGCTGAACCCGAACCCTTTTAAAAAGTGGAGGGTTCAAGGGTTCAGGGTAAAAATTTTAACATATAAATTTTTTTTTAAATAATGTAAAAATATTATTTTTAAAAATAATATAAAATTTTTATAATTTTATTAATTTTAAAAATAATATAAAATTTTTATAATTTTATTAATTTTAAAAATAATATAAAATTTTATAATTTTATTAATTTTTTTCGTGAAATCATTTATTTTATATTCGCGCTTTTCTTTTGATTTTCTTCCTGGACTTCATTTCATTTTATTTAGAGATTGATACCATAAATTATTTTCTAGTGTAAGTAATAATATTTTATTATGTAAATTTATTAATATGCTTTTTGCCTAAAAAAAAGCATTCATATTCAAATGTCTGAGGAGAATTTGATGAATGCTTTAGTTGAGCTTGTTACAATAAATGGAAGACCTTTCAATATTCTTGAGGATTCCGGTTTAAAAAAAATTATTGATCCTATTAGTAAGGCAATTGGAACATCAATTAACCGTTTTAAAATTAAGGGCTTAGTGGTTGATGAATCGAAAAAAATACAAGCAAAAATTATAAAAGAAACAAAAAACAAATTAATTTCATTAAAAATAGATTCCGCCCAAAGATTAGGGAGAAATATTTTAGGAATAAATATACAATATATTAAAGGAAATAATATAACCTTAAGAAATTTAGCAATGAGGGAGAAAGTTCAACTTCTGAAAATATAAAAAGAATGATAATAGAAACTTTAAATAAATTCCATATTCCTTTAAGAAACGTTTATACCATTACTACGGATAATGGTGCTAATCTAGTCAAATCTATTAAATTATTAAATGAATGTTCATTGGACGAAATGGATGATATAGATATAAATAATGATGATAATAATTTTGAGGACATAAGTGAATTTGACATACCGGAGATAATAAAAGATTTTTCCACGAAGATATACTGTATCAGATGTGCAGCCCACACACTACAATTAGCTATTAATGATTCCCTCAAAAATAATATCTTTAAAACTATAATTGACAAAGCAAGGGATGTTGCTAAATATTTAAGAACTCCTACAATTGTACGAATATTAAAATCCATGAAAAGGCAAATGGCAATATTAGATTGCACAACCCGTTGGTCCTCTATCTGTATGATGCTAGAGCGATTAATAAGTTTAAAAGCTTTCTGTGATGATTTTATTATAGGATCATGTGAAATCATTTTGTCAGAGGATGATTGGAATCAAATCAAAGACCTTACTAGGGTGTTGGTTCCTTTGAAAATTACTACATTACGATTGCAGTCAGAACAGTTGTGTTTATCCGATTTTTATGGCATATGGGTGAGATGTCGATTAGAATTAGAAAAATTTACAAGTTCCTTTTCTTACGAAATATTAGAAAACATGAAAATACGAGAGCAACAATATTTGAAAAATAGTGTTATGTATGCCTCAATATATTTAAATCCTCGATATCAAGTTCTATTAAGTATTGAACAAAAGCAAATGGCAATAGACCATCTCGACGATTTATGGCATAACCATAACTCTATTATTAACAATACATTGGAGGCTTCAACATCTAATGGTTGTAGCGATAGTAATGATGATAGTAATATTGACGATCTCGAAATTTTATTATTAGATAGAGAAAAAAAAATAAAATTATCATCAGGATCAGATAGAAAGGTGAAAAAAATATCGATTGTATCTTTAATTGAAAAATTCTCAGAAGTTATAAGAAATAAAAGGGATAAAAATATTTTAACATTCTGGGAGGAAAATTCTCTAATATATCCTGAATTGTATACCTTGTCTAGATTCGTCATGGCTGTACCGGCGACACAGGTACAATAATTTATATATTATAAAGATAACTATCTATTTTAGGTCAGCGTAGAACGCGGATTTTCTTCTTTGAAATACATATTGTCTAATTTACGTGGAAATCTCAAGGATGATATTTTAGAAGATATTATGATCGTTCGATTGAATAAAATATTTAAAATTTAAATTATTTCATTTTGAATTATGAATGTGTATATATATTGAAGTATAATAAAAATGAATGAAAAAAAAGTGCCTCTATGCCCCGTAAAGATGTAGGGCAATTTTGGCCTAAATCAAAGAAACCATGGGAACGTATCCATATTGATTTCTTACTCTGTCGTTTCCTGCCGTATTGATTATTTTGATAATAGATAGATTGGTGCATTGAATTAGAGAATATTATTATATCCAATTTTATATAATCAAATGATCTCAAAATCCTTTGTATCTGTTATATATGTATTTTTTTTTATTAGTCGTAAAAATTAAATTTTTTAAAGTCATCGTTGAATATTTTATTATTGTTTGATTATTAATAAATTTATAATTTTTTTTACCAATTCATCGTTGTAAGGAGTAATATTATTTTTTTTTATTATTAATAAATTTTTATTTGAATAATTTTAGAAATTATATAAACCCTAAAAAAGGAGAAAAAAAAACACAATTAATCTTTTTTTTTAATTATTTTTTTTAAAAAAAATATAAAACTTCTTGTATTGATTTGTGAAGATAAATAAAATCGCGGAAAACTTCAAACAATGAGAAAAATAATTTTAGATAAAAAAACATATTTTTTAGTGGTAGATTCGTATTCTAAGTGGATAGTGTCAAAAAAGACGAAATTACAAAAATCAAAAAAACAGAAATGTAAATGACAAACTAGAGAACAAATAAAAAGACCTAGGCAATGATCTAAATATAGAAATCATTTATTCAAATCACTAAAATCATAAATATAATAAAATCTTCATCTTTATTAGTAATTCAACAAAAAAAATTACAATTAATTTCAAAAAAAATATTAATAATCATTTTCATAAAAAATTAATTATATTCTAAAAAAAATCACTTTTTTTCAAAAACGATAAAAAAATATATCATTTAAAATGATTGACATTTAAACTATATTAAAAAAAAGTATCATTTATGACAGATAGAATATGCAGAAGTACATGGATATATAACAAAAATTGTTGTTAAAAAATTAAGAGAATTATATGCCCGGTTCGGGTTACCTGATACAATAGTATCGAGGTCTAAACTTCATCAGTGAGGATTTTAAACAGTTTTGTGTTGAGTCACAGACAAAACACATTCTTGCTCCACCATATCATCCCAGCTCTATTAGACAAGCTGAGAGGATGGTAGCCATTGTTAAAAATTGGATTAAAAAGGCTGGAACCCACAAAGATGAGGCTTACATGTCTCAATTATATTACCTCAATTTTCGAAATAAAGAGGGCAACACCTGTGGAATTATTCTTAGGGAGAACCAAAGTGCCCTTAGATTGTTTAAAGCAAAAAGTTACTATGAATATTTTACCCTTAGATATTATACCTATAAAGTTTCCAGTGGGACAAAAGGTTTGGACCAGATTGTTTGATAGTAAACATAAAAAATGGGGAGGACAAATATTAAAAAATTGTGGACACAAATTAAGTCAGGTAACTCTAGAGAATGATGTTATAATGGTAAGACACAATTATAAAATATCAAAGATGTTTAAAAAGTTAGTTAATTAATGGTAAGTAAAATATTTAAAATTAAACCCTTGAAACATATACTATTTTCAAAACTAAATATCTTTTAAAGAAAGTTAATTAATAGTAAGTAAGAGATTTAAACTTAAACCCTCAAAACATACACTATTTTCAAAGCTAAATATCTTTATTCAATTTATATAAAGAAATTGATTGCAAAAAAATTAATCCAATAAAACAAATTAATTATCAAAAAATTAATTTACATAATCCAGAAAAATTAATATTTTCATAAAAAAATTAATCATGATCTATTATCATATATTATAATTACATATTCTTCAAATATAAAAAAAATGACGATCTTTTATCAATAAAAACAAAACTCAAAACGAAAAAATATGTCTTGTTTTGTTAATCGAAGAAAATATGTTCCCATCATTTATATCATAAAACACATAAGGGATTTTTTTAACAAAATAAAATAAAAATGATTTTTTGATTGACATTTTAATTATTAAATTAAATATCAAAAATAACTATTACAAACTAGGACATGTCACCCCTTTATGGGCCAGTGACATACCCTAATGAAATTTAAATATACAAATACTTATAATAATTATTATAATATTCATATTAACAAAATAATTAAAAGATTTTCTTTAATTTTGGATATTTGAGGTACACGGTTCTTCGTCTTAGCCATCGAGTATCAATTTTTCTCAGGCCTAAATTTGTTGGTCAATGGGAGAAATGTAGGTTTTCCGCTCTTGATCCATATCTTAGGTTGATCTTTGGGTATTTAGGTTTGTTGCATTCTTCCTTTCATCTGGCTTATCTTGTTCCATTTTTTTGTCAGGATATCAATCCTTCTTTTGTTCATCAGACGTCCCATTTTGTTTCCTTGACCCATAACCATTGAACAATTCTTGAGAAAGTTTTTATTGCCATTATCCTTTTTCGTACTTTTTTTGTAAAACTAAGCGCTAGAAGGACATTGTTGAATCAGATGATCCTCAGAATTGCATCTAAAGCATCGTCTTTTACGCACCTCGGTAACATTATTCATGTGGGGCATTCCTTCTATAGAATTGGAGGTATCAAACCGCATACCCATGTCTTTTGGAATAATAGTTATCTGTATAAAGTGGTTCTTGAAGTTGATTAATTGGGATTGGGTCTTCATAATAAGATAGGAGAATTTAATATAAATTAACAAAATATTTCTACAAAAAAAAATATTATTAATTTTATTTTAAATTCACCACTTTTATACTAAAATTAAGAATTAAACATATTGTACCCAACATGGTAAAAATTATTAACTTTAATTTTAAAACAAAAAACTTTAAATATGATATATTTACAATAAATACTTTAACTTAATGTACCAACATGGTAAAAATTATTAATTTTAATTTCAAAAACCTTTCAATATGATACATTTATAATAAATACTATAACTTAATGTACCAACATGGTAAAAAATTACTAATAATTTCAAAAACCAAACCACCTTTCAATATGACCTAATATAACTATTTATCTCAAAACACATATTTCTTTTCTTTAAAAAAAAATTTTATCACCACATTTCAATATTCTATTAAATTAATTAATAAGATACACAAAAAAATTCATAATCAACGACAAGGTCAACAAGTCATTAATGTCCCCTTTTATTTAAGTTTTTATTTATTTTATTTTTTTTACATATTTTTTAAAAAAAATTTTATACATTGTTCAACAATGTCTCTTTGTACTAACAAAAAAAATTTTTTTTATCTACAATCATAAATAATTCATTTTATCCGTGGTAAACACAATTTACATTTTTTTATAACTTATTTTTAACAAATAACAAATATATATTTCAAATCTCTTTTATCCATACCATAAACCGTCATTTTATTATCAGTGGTATAGAAAAAATCTTTTAACCCCACATGTTTTTATTAAATTTTTGATATCCTTTTGATTTGATACTTATCAAACCACATCAATCAGATAAAAAATGGGGTATTATTAATTCCAAACACCAATACTTAAATAATAGGGTTTAAGGATACCCAGTATCAGAATATTTTACCTATATATAAAGGTTTAAGAATACCTTCGTTACAATAATACTTCTCAAATCATTTTCTATATATATAAGAGTTTAAGAATACCCTTGTTAACATACCAGCCCCTCTAACCCCCTTGTTAGATGCATCCACTGCCAAGATTATTTCCAAATCATTGTTAAAACAAACTAAAATCGGTTCCTAGCCAATTTTTTCTTTTAAAATATCAAAGGCCTTTTTTTGTTCCATTTTCCACTCAAAATGAACGCCTTTTTTAATAGGTTATACAACGGAGATACCACTTCTGCAAAATTCTCCACGAAACGATGATAATAATTTATCATACCTAAAAATGGTTGTAACTCCGTTTTATTGTTTGGCGAATTCATATTTTTTAAATTTTTATCAAGAGGTTTCACCTCCATTCCATTAATTTGATGTCCTAAATAGGTAACTTCTGTTACCCCAAGGACACTTTTTTCTTTACTGGCCCTTAGACTTTCATCACTAATTCGCTTGAGTGTTTTGGTTTTTGAAATTAACATTAATAATTTTTACCATGTTGGTACATTAAGTTAAAGTATTTATTGTAAATATATCATATTGAAAGTGTTGTTTTTTTGTTTTAAAATTAAAGTTAATAATTTTTACCATGTTGGGTACAATATGTTTAATTCTTGATTTTAGTATAAAAGTGGTGAATTTATAATAAAATTAATAATATTTTTTTTTGTATAAATATTTTGTAATTTAAATTAAATTCTCCTATCTTATTATGAAGACCCAATCCCAATTAATCAGCTTCAAGAACCACTTTGTGCAGATAACTATTATTCCAAAAGACATGGGAATGCGGTTTGATACCTCCAATTCTATAGAAGGAATGCCCCACATGAATAATGTTACCGAGGTGCGTAAAAGACGATGCTTTAGATGCAATTCTGAGGATCATCTGATTCAACAATGTCCTTCTAGCGCTTAGTTTTACAAAAAAAGTACGAAAAAGGATAATGGCAATAAAAACTTTCTCAAGAATTGTTCAATGGTTATGGGTCAAGGAAACAAAATGGAACGTCTGATGAACAAAAGAAGGACTGATATCCTAACAAAAAATATGGAACAAGATAAGCCAGATTAAAGGAAGAATGCAACAAACCTAAATACCCAAAGATCATCCCAAGATATGGATCAAGAGCAGAAAACCTACATTTCTCCGATTGATTAACAAATTCAGGTCTGGAAAAAATTGATGCTCGATGGCGAAGACGAAGAACCGGGTACCTCAAATATCCAAAATTAAAGAAAATCTTTTAATTATTTTGTTAATATGAATATTAATAATTATTATAAGTATTTGTATATTTAAATTTCATTAGGGTATGTCACTGGTCCATAAAGGGGTGACATGTCCTAGTTTGTAATAGTTATTGTTGATATTAATTTAATAAATAAAATGTCAATCAAAAAATCATTTTTATTTTATTTTGTTAAAAAAATCCAGAGTTGTTAAAGTAGCGCGCTACTTAGCGCGCTATCTTTTTTGGTAGCTATAGCTAATAGCCACTACTTTTTTTAAATTATTTAATTTTTTAGCGCGCTACTTTTTTTAAAAGTAGCGAAGTAGAGCGCTACTTTTTTTAAAAAATATAATGAATGTAAGTATAAACATGAAAATTTAAATATAATATCATAATTAATTATAATTTTTATAATTTATTATTTAATTTTGAAATTTAAATATATTTTCAATTTTTAATTTATATTTTCAATCTGTGTTAATAATCTAAAATGGCATCGTCCATGGATATCCTTATCCTTGAAAGTGATTCAGATATGGAAGATTCAATGGAAGAAAATGTACTTAATAGCTCTAATAACGTTTTTCCATTCCCTAAATTTGAAAAATTTTTTAAAATAAATATTAAAACAAAATCTGGATTCAAATTCCTGTGCTTAAAATGTAAAAAAAATATATCATCAAATCAATCGAGTAGCTATAACCTGAAGAAACACCTAAAGGTAAATTGTTATTTTTACATTATAATATTATTTATTTTATTAGACTGTTCACGCCAATTGCTATAAGGAAATAGAGAAACATATAAAAAATGTTGGTATAGGAGAATCTTCATTCAAAAAGACAAATACTATCCAAACCAAATTAACTGATAATAAACATGCCAATATTTCACAAAAATTGGCTGATAAAGTTATTGTTGATTTTATTATTGACACAGTTCAGCCAGTGTCTTTGGTTGATAATCCATCATTTACTCTGATGATTAAAACTTTATCCCCTGGCACAACAGGACATTTTATAAATGTCAAACTTTATGGAATAAGCAGAACAAATCTCCTAAAAGTTCTGACATGTTTAAAAAAAAATTAGGGAGGTATTTATTAACCCCTAATCGTACAAGATGGAATTCTGTTTACCAAGCAATAAAACTAATTGCTTTTTTCTGAAGGAAAGAAGATTAGAGATTAATTATCTCTGTGATCTTGCTGAAATTGAATATATTAACGATGAAGAGCATACTTTTATAAAAGAGTATACAGAAGTAATTCTAACTAATAATGATTCATTTCTATATCATTTTAATTTTTTAGGTTATGCAATATGTTGCTGTTTCCCTTGAAATTTTGGAAGGTGAAGATAATATGGAGATGGGGTATTATGTTCCCACTTTAAGTATCCTAAATACCAAATTAAAGAGATTGAATAATCTAATCTTATGCCAGCCCCTAGTAGACTCTCTGTTAAAAGGCATTGAGAGAAGGTAAATAAAATTTATATTGTTTTGATTTTTACTGAAGATTTATTCTAACTTAATGTTTAAAGCTAAAAAATTTATATAATTTTATGATTAAGATATATTTAAAATACTCTATTTTTGTAACTTTTAGATTCCCAAACTTATACAATGATGACAATGTCTTAGCGGCAATGGTTCATCCAAAGTTTAAACTAAACTGGCCATATATAAATTCCGATGATGCCAAACATCAACGCGATAGGATAATGGCGAAGCTGAATAATCTTACTCCAACAAACATAGATTGCCGAGTATCTACCACGAAGAAATCCTCAAATAATTTTTTTGAAATTAAAGAAGATTTAATAGAAAATCCAATTGATCTTTTTTTTCAATCAAAAAATATTGAAATGAATATTTTTGATAATTTTTAATATATTAAAAATTTATATATAAAATTTAATACCCCCTTGCCCTCAAGTGCTAGTGTCGAGAGATTATTTAAAAGCAAAGCTTATACTTTCTGATCGTCGCTCTAGACTTGGGGATGATAATATTGAAATGATATTATTATTAAAATGCAACAAATTAAAATAAATATTTATTTATATTGCTTATTTTTTTATAATCTAAACTAATATATTTTTATATTTATAAATGTTGATTTTTATATATTATTTATTATACATTTACATTATAAGCAAAAAAAAAATAAAAAAAACTAAATTTTTTTTTATAAAAAGTAGCTTAAAAGTGCGCTACTTTTTTTGACAAATAGCGAAAGCGGTAGCGCGCTACTTTTTTTGACAAATAGCTATTACGGTAGCGCGCTACTTTTAAAAATAGCGTTTAACAACTCTGAAAAAATCCCTTATGTGTTTATGATAAAAATTATGGGAACATATTTTCTTCGATTAACAAAACAAGACATATTTTTTTCGTCTTGTTTTTATTGATAAAAGATCGTCATTTTTTTATATTTGAAGAATATGTAATTATTTTATATATGATGATAATAGATCATAATTAATTTTATTTATGAAAATATTAATTTTTCTGGATGGGAATTAATTTTTTTTGATATAATTAATTTGTTTTATTGGATTAATTTTTTTGCAATCAATTTTTTATATAAATTGAATAAAGATATTTAGCTTTGAAAATAGTGTATGTTTCAAGGGTTTAAGTTTTATTATTTTACTTACCATTAATTAACTAAGTTTTTTAACACCATTGATATTTTATAGTAACAGTAATGTCTCTTTTTTGTATGAGTCGGGAACTGGTATAAATTTAATATTTTATTTAAAGAAAAATAGTTAAAAATATATTGGAATAATTAATTTTTTATTACCGTAAAATTTTTTTTTATATTTATCATGAAGAAAATGTATTCTGTGAGGAAGAATGCTAATCATCAGAGGCAATAAAATTAATAAGACACTTGATTTGGCTTAAGAATGGCTATTGTCAAAGATTGAAGTATTCATAAAGCTTCCCCAAATTTTTCCTGTCTGAAGATCAAAATCTTTAAGAAATTTTTTATTAAATCACCATAAATTGTTAGAGATGATTGGTATGAAAATATAATTTGATGAAACAATATATTTATAAATTATTAAATTTGTGAATTGCAACTTTGCTAATATTGGAAGAGGAGTTAGTGTTTAGGCATGAGAAATCCCATATTAGGAATATTACCTGCAACTGCGGTATTCATGACTCCACTGTCGGGAAAGTGGTTAGAGGGTTCTAATGAGGTGGGAAAGCCTGCTGATCTTAATGCACGAATTATGATTTGATTTCATTTTATGTTTTGGTTGTTGATCAAAATTGGAATACATAAGGCCATACTGTCTTAAGCATGATTGGTTCATCTATATGATAATGAGATGTTTATGAGCCTAGTTGAGCTCGTCCTTGATTATTTTATTTATATATTTGATGTTGAATTTCAGTTAAGAATAATATTGATTCAATCAAGGTATGTTAATTTATAAATATGTCAATATGATTTAAATTTGTTTTAGCCCCAGCATGAAACGTTATACAAATCAGATTTGGCTTCTTTATAAATAAGCTAACATATATTAAATTCTGATAAAGATTTTTGTGAAGATGATTTGAGAAATGCTAGAATTATAATTTTTATTTATTAAATACACAACATCCCATCCTCAGCAGTAGTTGAACATGTTTAGTTCAGGGAAATCTGTGTTGAGCACTCTTGTTTATGTGATCACAATTTTGAAAACAACTTATTTTTATTATTTAGAGAAAAAAAATAAATAAAAAATTTATATATTTAAAATTTTTAAATAGTGAATAACGTTCCTTTTCACAAAGTAATAATACATTCCATTTTTGAAGTAATCATACTTAATGTGTATTAAAGATGTTGCTACCATCAAGATTTATGGTTGTTGAAAATCTGCATCGTTTTAAAAAATCTCAATCCTCCAAATAGAAAGAAACCCTAACCAAAACAACAAAATTTTTAAAAACCAAATCAGTATCATTTACCATACCTACCTAAGCTATTAAAAATATTTGTTTAGAAAAATTCTAAAAATGTAAGTTAACCAGTTTGATTATTTTGTTTAAGACTTTTAAAGATAATTAATTATGAGCTTTACTGATTTTAGATATTATTTGACTGCAAGCTATCCATGTTACTCTTAATATAGGTATAATTTTATAGAAGTGAATATTTCGTGTATGTCTAAATATAAATTTAAGTCAATAATGATAAAATTTAAAAAAATATGCTTTCCTTATATAATTTTAATAAACTTATATGTGATAGTTCAAACTGAATAATTATTATTTATCGAACCTGAAATGATATTTATGTGAAAAGATATTCAACACAATTAAATCCCTGTCAGAAACCTAAGAAAGATGAATATTTTTAAAAATGTTGTGATTCATATTAGAGAAGCTATTTAATTAATAATTTTCTATTGTTTATTAACAGATCAGAAATACGTTAAATCTAAAAAACAGAATATCTTCATAAAAATATATAGATTAAGCATTTAGTCCTGATTCCAAAACTGCAATTTTAGATGAAATGTTCATAAAAAGTTAAGCAATAAAAGTTTCAGAAATTTAAATAATCAAATTTTAAAAGTATTTCACAAAATTTGGAGAAGAGCACAAGAATTAGTAAAAAATTATAAGAAATAAATATTTTATTAGATTAAGAAATCGGAATTTTGGTTGCAATTCAAATTATTTAAAACACAATGTTATTTTAAGATATCTCATATATAATGGAGCAAATAAAAAATCCTACAAATTATAACAAAGTTATTGATATTTGGAAAAAAAATGTTGGTTCAGTTAACAACTTATCATTTAATTTAAAAAAATCTATACTTAATAATGGACCCTTTGCTTAAGATAGTATTTGGGTTGACAAATCGGTCAAAGGTTTTATACTTAAAAACGAATTAAATTTTGCATAATGGTTATATAGCGCATAGCAATAATTAAAAAAATTTTAAAGCAGCTAAATAGATCCAAAACAATAGGCTCAGCGAATACAGGTTGGTTTAGTAGATATTAAATTCTATTAAAGCAAATATAAAAACTTTTCAGTGCTAATGTATTTAAAATAAAACAAAACTAAGTGATTATAAGCTAGATACTTTGGGATAATGAAAATCACTAGATATGTTTATTTGTAAGAAATTTAAATTTAAGAAACTAGGAAATTTTTTTTTTCATATTTTGGAGCAAAACTTTACACTAGTTCTTTTCTTCTTAGAACAATATTAAGAATTAACAGACTATAAAATTTATGAATGAGAAAAAAATATGGGTCAATATATAATTTTTATATCTAGAATACATTATAATACCATAATTAGATTATCTAAAATAAAATAGATTTCTTTCAATTTCAAATATTGCTTTAAAGCTAAGCTTAAAATTTTAATTCCAAGTTCAGCCCAAAAATTTATATTTTAACCACAAACCTTGGCCTAAATTATTTCTTTTAACCCCTAGAGAAATATTTATTATTAAGGTTAAATAAAAGAAAATCTAATGCTTTCTCCTAATCTAAAAGAAATTCCAATTATCATAATAAAAGAAGCAAAAACATAATTTTCTAAAAAAATATTTTTGAACCTATTCCACTTTAAAAATTAAGCCTAAGCCCAGTTTGATTAAATTTTTTTAGGCTTGAATCTAACCTATAGGATTTTAATCCAAAATTCACATTCATAATTAAATGAGTAACCAGAAATTGGTTTAAGGTTAAAAGTAGAGAATAGAACTACCTTAAAGATACCCATTTTGAAGTCACTTTTATATATTATTAATTTTAGAAAAAATTCATTTAAAGATTAGAGTTAATGTTTTCTGGATGTTGATATTTAAATTAAGGTGAAAAATTGTAGTTAACCAAACATCATAAAATAGCCTAGCTATTAAAGGATAATGATTATAATTATGGGAAAAAACAAATATTATTGATTTTTTTTTAAAACCTATATTTCATAACTCTTAATTTCCCATATTTTTTCAATTAAATTTATTGCAATTAGTTCCTATGTTTTGCAACAGTACAAATATTTTGTAAACAATCCCAATATAAAATCAGAAAATGTATTTCTAAAATAATATTAGATTATTTTATAAGCAAAACCAATAGCTAAGGTTGTTAATGAGCCTGATTCAGGTCAACAAAAAGAAAAGAAAGAAATAGACCCAAATTGGGCTTTTTAACAACCATACTAATAGCTGATCAATCAATCAAATAGTAATAAAATTGGTTTAACCCTATATTGCACATTTGATTATATCAAATTTCAAAATCCTATAAAACTTTTATTACCTTAAATCCATTTTATCTTTAAAGCATATTTAAAAAGTGTGATTATAGATGTCTATTAAAATATATTCTAAAATTATTTTTAAAGTTTATCAGTCAGTCAATAAACAGATTATATCTAAAATTAGAGCCTTATTTAATTATTGTTAATTATTAAATTTTAAGGTACACTCAGTGGCAAATCACAACAGCATAAATCTTAGATTGATTAAATGGTATAATAATTTCCCTGTTCATCTCCTGAGCACTGATAGAAAAAGAACTCTTTAAATAAATGTAAAAACCCCACATTATTGTCATACAACAAATATGGGAGGTGTGGATCTAATAGATTCATCATTAGCACTATAAAGAATATATATAAAAGTAATAAATACCTAAAATTTGGATTTTTATAACTTTAATGGATAATGTGCATTTGAACAAATATTTCAAAATGTAAAACAAAAAAAATTAAAATCTTTTACTAGGGATAAGGAATCATTTTGGTTATTTAACTTTACTAAGTTATAAAAAGGTCCATATGTAATAAAGTTAAAAGCAAAACCAATATTATTCATAAAATAATTAATACACCTTATATTTTTAGATTTATGTACTTATTGGCTTAGTGGATAACACTAAAAATATTTAGTTATATGTCTAATTTACTTTGTGATATATTTTTGTTTTACTTTTATTACAAAATAAATTTTGATCTCTTATATACCTAATATATATATACAATATTTTATATCTATGGAAATAGATTTATATCAATTTTTTATTTAGGATATTATAATTGAAGTCAAAGATATGGAGAATCAAATAATGCTGACACTGAAAACTTTTCAAAACAAGTACATCCAACTTACATATATGTTGTTTAATTTACACAATCAAAAGTTTTTATAATAATTTTTATTCTTCTTTGTAAGTTGAAAGGATAAGAAATAAAACTAATAGTAATGTACTATAAAGAAATGATTAAGTCAATAAAATAGTTTTAATTCAATACCAATACCAAAATATTGCAAGCCAGACCTAAAACTCCAATCAGGCAAAATCATTCAAGAATAAAACTAGTTTATATTAGAAATAGTAAGGTGATAAGAGTTTAGGCACTAGATACCAATAATTTTGTGCATTTAATAATTATTATAAAATTAAATCATCCCATCCTACCTAAAATTTAATTGGTTTTGTAGTCATATAATATATTATTGATAATTATTTATACAAATATTTATGAAAAATTTCTACATTTAAATAATAGAGGAAATAATTATATACATCCTATGTAATATTATAGTTAAAACATTGATACAAAATATCCTATGCATAATAAAATTTATGGGATAATACAGAGATCTAAATATCAATTTTTGATTCCTTTGTAACAATCATTATCCTATCTGTCATTAACAAATTTTCCTACTTCCTAATCAAATTTAACGATATTGAATGAGTTTGCAAATAATTGTGCTATAAAATCCTATGCAATCGTATTTATAAAGGCCATGGATGTAAGTTATAAAAATTATTCCCTAGTATTGTTGAAAAACACCTATAAGTATAAAATATATATTATATATATAATATAAGCTATTCTGAAATATAAGCTGAGCTTTAAAAAATTTTTTTTAAACTTACATGAATAAAAAGAGGATCAGAATTTTAAAAGCGGGATGAGTTAGAATTGTTTCCTTTATTACCACCAAAACCACCTTAATTTTTTATAAATCAAATTATAATAGCAAATAAAATTATTTATTACCTTTGTTCTTATATCCATTTCCTGTGTTATAAGGACGATTATTATTTTTCATATTGTTGTTGTTAAATCGTGGGTTTCTCATTGGTCCACCACCAAAACTATTGTCATAGTTAAAATTATCAAAACCTGTAATAAAATAATTGGGCATTAGCTTGATTCATAAATTAAATACCTCCCATTAAAGGCATAGGGTTATTTGGACCTTCACCTAATAAACCCATATTTCCCATACCCATCATCATAGGATTCATTGGTCCCATTCCATTCATAGGACCTCCCATATTAAAACCATTACCAAACATCATATTTTGAAAATTGTAATCAAAATCATCAAAAAAATTAGGTTCTGTTTATAAGTTTTATATAAAATCAAAAAATTAAAAATAACCATTTCTTTGTCTACGATTATTCATAGGCACTATTAAATAGTAATTATTCGTTGTTTTATAAAATATATTATATACTATTAGGAGCATTATTATTCTTTGAGAATGTCATTTTATTTCTTTCATCTTTGGACATAGCTTTATTTACAGCTAATTTAACATTATTAATTATATGGGGCTTATGTACTTATAAAAAGAAAAAATTAATTATAAAATTAACTTATATCTTACAAACAGCCTTGTCAACAGCATCATAATCATCAAAGGCAATAAAAGCAAAACCTCTTTTTTTGCCACTACTATCAAGTTTAATATCACATTCTAATATTTTTCCATATTGTGAAAAATGATTTTTTAAATCTTCAACTTCAATTGGTACACCATCTTTGACACCTCCAACATATAATTTAGTTGATGTTACTAACATCTCATTTTTCCCAGACTCCTTATTTAAAAAATAGAAACATATATTATCAACAAGTTTACTCCTCGTGGCACAGCTCTTTTAGGATCAACATCCCTTCCATCAATATTATGAGGTCTAGATTGCATAGCCTGATCAACACCTTCAGGTTCCTTATAGGTTATAAAACCAAATCCACGTGATTTTTTCGTTTGAGGATCCTTCATAACAATACAATCAATAACTTCACCCCATTGAGTATAAAACTCGCGCAATGTATCATCAGTTGTTGTAACACTTAATCCACCAATAAATATTTTACGATGACTTTCAGCTGCATCATATGCTGCCTAAAATAATATAATCATGAATTATCTAATTGAAATTTTAATAATTATCGTTACATGATTTGATTTGGAATTCATTTTGTTTTTAATTTGTGGAAAATGCAAATAATAATAAAATATAATTAACGAGGAAAGTATAATGTTAAATTTTTATATTAAATTATTAATTTTTTCGTATAATAGATTTATAAATATTTGCAATAAAATTTAAATATGGAATTTTATTATTTAAATATATATATATGCAAATGTATATTTTATCATAAAATACTCATATTTAATTTATAATTTAATACAGGCACAGCAATATTTAATCAAATTAAGGAAATCGGAGATATATCATGCCAAATAAAACACGTTTTCCCTCAGTTTATAACCAGAATCTCTTCTGTATTTTATCTGAATAACATTACTAATCCTTAAATAGCAAATTTTTATTTCTAAAAATCCATTTAGCATTTCGCTCTACTGTAAGGATAGTATTTCTTGCTAAGATTATCTATAAATTTATTAACGAGAGTATGAAATTCTCCTCAAAATAAATAATCTTCAGAAATTGATATCTCAATAATGTCATTGAAAAATTCTATTATTTTTATGATTTTTTTTAGGAAATCTAATTTTTGACCTTAATTTTGTGATTTTTAATTATATCTTTGAACATTTTTGTTTCAAACCCTGTTATTAACTAACCCAATCTATATCAAATGACTTCAAACTATGAAATATTCGTTTTTATTTATACCTAAATTTTTATAGGTACCAAGCCAATATTGTTGTTAAAAGGGCCCGACTAAGATTTTAGCTGAAACAATTTTATGTAGGCCTCGAGATTTGGCAAATAGATGTACAAATCTTTCCCATCTACAAGCGAATTCTTCAGGATTACATAAAATTATTTTGGCTTAAATTTCATAATCGAACCATTTTTAAAAATCCACCCAAATCGCGTCGTTTTACAAAACTAGATGCTCTAACCCCCTAAAAGAATTTAAGGCAAACTAAACCTACACCCTCCACTCATTTAGAGAGCAGAGGAGGTAGGTAGAGGTCTGCAATGAGTAGGTGCAGCGTCTACATGACAGAATTTTCGCTGGATGCAAACCCCCTTCAAAAATCTTTACCTACCCCCCCCCCCCCCACCCACCCCATCCCCCAAAAAGAAATACCCGTAGCCTCCGGCGGCGGTGTCTCATTATCATTATTTTCACCTATTAATTTATTGATACTCTTTCCAAAGAATTTATAAAGGATAACTTAAATTAATCTATCTCTACTACCAATTATCGATATTTTGTGAATATAAAGAATTATTTTTTAGATATTAAATTCATTTAAAACCTCCATTATTTACACTGAATTAATTATTATGGCATTATGAGCTTGCTGAAATATCTAAACCTTTTAAATTTCATTTAAAAGGATAGTTTATTTGGAAAATAATGTGTATGATTGTTGCAATATATAGATTTGAAAAATTTATTTTAATAGCTGGTTTGGATCTTTCTTTATTTTAATTAAATATATATGCAATATTATAAAATAAAACTATTATTTTCAATAATTTAAAGTTTGTTCGCCTGAAAAATATTAAAAATTCACTTGCAGACGCTATTCCATTATTATAAAATTATTATTTTTAACCTGTCAATGTTGAAAATATTCTAGAGAACCCGACCATACCAATACTAAGTATGGGCGGGCAAAAAACTTGCCCATTGTAAGCCTCTAGGGGTAGGTGCAATTAGTTCCCCAGTTTTAAAGAAGTGGGGGTAGGGGGGTAAGATAAATTTATTGGAGGTTATCAATTAAATTTTTAAATGATGCGGTAAAATATAATGGCATAAAAAATTATTTAATGATTTTATTATATACCTCTTAAAATACAATTATATTGCTAAACATAGACTATAACTATTATGCCTACAATCAGTCATTTATTTTTAAATAAAACGTATTTCTGGATAATTTTCATCTATCTTCTTAAATATAATTTAAAAGGATTAGACATTCAGCAAACTCATATTCATGCCAAACAATATATTATAATGCCATTGTAAATGAGGATTCTTTTAATTTTAATTCATGTTCTAATACTTTTACATTCACAATTTGATAGTTTATTGTAGTGTATAGATAATTTAAGTTTTTAAAATATATGAAGGGAATACAATTATAGTTCATAATGTAATTTTTTAGTGGCGCAGGAATAGGTTTTTGATGGGGAGTTTGCTTCCAGTGATTATCCAGTTATGCAGATGCTGATTTCGTTATAAAAAATATTATTGTGAAGAATTTTATTTATAAAACATACTTTTTGCGGCTATAACTTAATTTTTTTGTTCTTAAAAAATATTCTTTTGATTTCTAAGACTAATAATAGGTTTTATATTTATTTGAGTAGTTATTTATTTTTCTATCTTGACAATTTAGTTTATTATATATGAGAATTAATAAATGATTTTTAACAAATTGATATATGTTTTTATCTTTCTTTATAATTTTTTGACCAGCTAACATACAAAAAATCGTACGTATTTGGACAGGTTGATTCAAAGTCATACCAAATGATTAATAAAGGTAAAATATTATAACATACCGTTTTTCATTAATAAAATTATTTTTTTTTATTAAGTTATATTATTCTTAGTAAATGATTTGTTATTTTGTAATTATATATAGTAAATTATCAATGTAATATTCCATAATAATTTTATTAATAACAATTCTGCTTTAATATAATAATGTAAATATTTATTCTATAAATGGCCATTAATGATTAGAATTGTAAATTGTATGCCACAAAAATATAATATTTGTTAATTTTTCCTTCGTTATAGCTATTTATTATTATTCAGGTGTAACATTATTAGATATCTCGATATCGCCTGAGCAATTAAGTTTAGCGTGGAAATTTTGTATTTCTTCGAATATCATAAGTTTCAATTTTTCTTTTGGCAAATCGTCCAGCTCGGTATCAAATGTAAAAGGATGATCAGCGATTGGCTAGTTATAAATATAAAATATAAAATTTTAATATTTTATTTTAGTCATATGATTATTATAAGGTATGATCTCTATCTAGTGTTATAGTCGAGTTTTGAGTCGATTAGTCGACTCATTTTTACAACTTGAGTTTTGAGATTGAGTTATGAACTCAAGTCGCGGAGTTAAATACTTGAGTCGTGAACTTAAGTTATGAATTTGAGTCGTGAACTTAACAGGTTAACTTAAATTTTATGAAACTCGATTACTTATATTAGTATTGTTAGTTGTTTAATACCCAGACCTGGCACTTGGCTCTAAAATCGACTAAATCAGCTATGGCATGAATACCGAGCACAGACCCATATATTTTAAGTTATTTCTTATTGAACTTATTAAAGTATTTAAATATATGGTTATTAGAGGTATCAATCGATAGATAATTTAAAAAACCTCTTGAATAGGCAACAAGTCAAGCGCTACCTCTCGATGGGTGAAGCTATTACTAGGGGGTGAGGGCAGGATTAATTTTATGTATCAAATAAGCCTAGTTCTACCTTAATATGGTGAATATGAGTATATCCTGGTGGAGGGGGAAATATTTGATATAGTTACTTATATAACTGATCATGAAAGACGTTGCTTTAATTATAATATTTTTAACAAAAAAATATAAAAATGCAAATTTTATTAATTTAATGTTAAATAATTATATAAATACTATAAAAACTAGGCCAAAATATCTTCAGGTCATTATTTACTACACTTTTGTAATATATTAAAAATATATACCCAAAAAAATAAGGGATTGGTTTTGTTGTTTTTATTTTTTTAGGAATTTACAAAAAATTATCTATAAAAAGTTTCGGGAGGTATAATATTATATTTTATTTATTTAGTTAGTTATTTTTTTATTATTTTTTCTATTTTTATTTTTTTATATTAATTTAATTGTTTATATTTTTAATAGTAATTTTTCTCCAAGATAATAAATAAAATAAATAACTTAAACTATTTTTGGTTCATATATTTATTTCTAAGTCTCTGAAATAATAAATTCTTATTCTTATAATTTGTTAACGCCTAGCTGGCACCTAATTAAGGGAGTGGGGGAAATAATTTTATTTTTTTGGATATAAAATTCATTTTTTTATTTAATTATTTTTTTTATACTTACCAAGGTGGGGTGGAGGGGGGTTTTTTATTTTACTTTTTCCAACTTAAGGAAAAAAAGAAAAGATTAATTTTTAGAATATTCTCATGGAAAAAAAGTTTAATTTTTAAAATGTAGGGGAGACCATATTTTTATTTAGATTTTTGTATTGTAATTGTAAAATCTGAATTCATGATTTATATTAAAGATCAGGACAATATTTCAGGAAAAAAATAGTATGGGGTTCATAAATAGGATTTTTTTAAAAAAAAAAAATATTATTAAATATCTTAATCCTCAAAATTAGCCTCTTAATTAGCTAATCGATTATGTCTAACACTATTATTGAAGATTATAATTTTCCATATTTAAATCAGAAAAGAGCTCAGGCAATAATAAATAAGATAATTTCCATACATGATGTTTTTTCAAGGGTTTTTGGGTAATGTTACGAGGAATCCTTTATTTGCAAACAAAGGATAATAATTTTAAGAATTTCGATTAAGTTTATGTTAACAAAATTTAAATAGAGTTTAAAATTCCTGAACTCAAATTAAACCCTAATTTGGCAATCTAGCAGATATTTTTCTCTTAATATTGTACAAAAGTTAAAAATAAAATGTTAAGATCTAAACATGCTCATAAAGAGAAATGCGATGGTCAAAAATTTTATACGAGTAACCATATTTATTTTTTACCCCTGCTCACAAGTCAAACATATATACATCATATTAAGGTAGAACTAGACTTATTTGATACCCATCCAACATATCAATATTTGGTGTTGATAAAATTAATCACAACCTACGTAGTAATTGCCATAGAGAAGTGGCTCTTGGTTTGCTAATTATTCAATAGTTCTAATTAGCTATCGATTGATGCCTCTAATAATCATATATTTATATACCTTAATAAAGTCAAGAAAAAACAACTTAAAATATATTGGTTGTGCTTGGGGTTTCTGCTCATTGCTAGTTTAGTCGATTTTTAGACTCAAGCCACGGATCTGGGTTTTACACAATTAACTAATAAATAACACTTATATAAGCTAATGAGTTCACGACTCAAGTTCAAAACTCGAGTTCACGACTTAAGTTCAAAACTCGAGTCACGACTTGAGTTCACGACTTCGAGTTTTTAGTCAAAAAAATTGACTCAAAACTCGATAGGGATAGGAAGAATTATTATATTTAATCTAATTAACATCTTCTCTTCTTCTTGAGAAATATTTATATGAAATCCCACATCTAACTATTTTATTCTTGCTTGCTCCTATGATTTCAGGATTTCTATCTGTAATATTTGTTTTGAGTCGATTTTTTGACTAAAAACTAGACTTGAGTCGTAGTTAAGCCGACTCGGCTGAGTCGTTTAACAACACTATATAATACTATTAGTCTGAGATTCTTTTCCACTATAAAAAAATTACCAAAATTTAATTTAAAATTGTGTCGTCGTTTTTTGTTTTTTAAGAAAAAAGATATGGATTTATTTGGCGTGATGTTATTTTTAAATCGCTCTCATCTTAAAAGGATAAAATAGGATTTGGACTTAGAATCTTATAATAATCTATTAGAGAGTAAGATAATTGACAAATTAAAGAAAAAATACAGATGTTTAAAAAAAAATTATAATATTTGTTTATTTTTTTAAAAAAATTTTCCAGTATAAACTAAATTTTCGAGAATCCAGGTGGGATTTATGAACACCTCAAAGAATTTAAAAATGTGATTACTTGAAATTATTTAGGCATTCCGATTTTCATAGTTTAATAATTATATGTTAAATATCTTCGGGTGACATTATAGTGTTCTATATCCACTTTTTTTGCAAAATGCTTTTTTTTATAAATGAATTTTTCACTACTGTATTCTTATATATCTACTATAAAAATGGTAAAATATAATTGAGAATAATTTAATAGCATAATTACATCGAGATCTCCTATTTAAAATAAAGAATTACTCTTTTTTTTAAATGATCCCCAGAAAAAATTTAAAAAATATGGATATATAAAATTATTTCTGATTTTATTTGACACTTTAGGGAAAACAACCATAAAAATTTAAAAATTATAATATAAAAAGTTAAATTACTTAATAAATATAAAAACTTCAAACTAATCATGAGTATAAAATTTTAATTTGGGGCTCCTATTCACCCACCCCACCTGGTCTCTTACTTATTTTTTTTCCATTTGGGATATGAAGGGTTAAGGAATTATTAAATCTAAATCAAATAAACCGAAAAGCATCAAAATAATCATGTCTAAAACTAAAGGTACATCTAATGACAATAATACTAATCTATACTAGATGATTAATTTATTAAAAGTTTACATACATTGAAGATGGCTGTATGTCAAAGCCTTATGGCGGACTTTAGTATAATACACTTTTTTATGCAATATAAATATTCAGATTTGTTAAAAAAAAATTCGATGATTGAATATTAGATAATAAAATTTGTCTACCATTTTGATATATCTTAGCCATATAAAAGGGTTACCCGGTACCTGATATTTTAATAAAATAATCGGTGCATCTAGCTCTCCAGTTAATATATAATAGATTTCGTCGGTTTGGTATCATAATGTTTTATGTCCATTTTGTCAATAATCCTTCATAAGAGAATTTGTTTAAAAAAGGAAGTAATTCTTTTATTTTAGATAGGAGATCACAATATAATAATACAAAAAAAGGATAATTTTAAATTGTATTTAAATGTTTTTATTGTGGACATAGAAGAACATAGTATTGAATAATTAATTTATTTTAAAAAAAGTGGATATAGAACACGATAATACTAAGCCGATTATTTATAAGTCTAAATGGTAACCTCATCAGCAGGGTCATAATATTGTTCAAGATATGGATGAGCCAACGCTTCTTCTACGCTTATCCGTTTGTGGGGATTAAAAGTTAATAATTTATCTAATAAATCCAGAGCTAAAAAATATCAAAAAATAATTTTTTTTTTAAATTGAGAATTGATTGTGAGTAATTGATAAATAAAAATATAAATAGTATGACTGAGGTAAAAAATAATAAAATGATAAAGTTATTCTACAAGATTCCTTCAAAGAAAATGTGACAAACATCGTTTCAATGTCAAAATATTCGTTGAGTTTTCGTTATATATTGTTGTTTATAATTATTTTTAATTATTATTTAGTCATTTTTTGGTTTAATAAACGTTACTTCAAAAAAGAAACGCGTTACTCGTTGCGTCTGCAAAAAAGAACGAGTTACCGTTATTTAGTACCTTATGAAAAAAGGAACCCTTTACTGGCTATTCAAAAAACGGGTTACTGGTTACTTAAAAAATTAAATATTATATATATGATGAATTACATATCAAATCACCTAAGGTTTCAACCCGACCCCTTTCAATTTTTCTTAAATTTTGCATGCTGGAAGTATATACTATAACTAAGAAAAAAATGAAATTTTACCTCCAACACTGTTTACCCGCTAAGATATGGGTTTAAAGAGAGGAAAAATTGTACATTTTTGACAAAATGCACCTCATTTATTTTCGAGAATATCTCAAGAAATAAGTTTGTTAGATAAATAATTTAAATTTTATTATGTAGCTTAATAATAGTTCTTTAATATGACATAAAAATAAATATAATAGACAGATTAATGTCGAAAACCGGAAATAGACTTAGAAAAAGGGGATTTTTTAAAAAAAATCCTAGACTGGGATAAACATGGATTTAGGAGTTATGACTTTTTATATGGCTAAAATTGATCAGATTTAACATAAATATCATCGTATTAATGAATAGTTATGAAATTATGTTTAATTAAAATATGCCTAAATGAAAGGCCCTTACTTCTTTGTTTTATCTAAAATTTTTGAAAGGTTGGCTGAGATAATGTGCTTTATTTAACACTTTAGTTAAATTTTGTCTCGAAATTATTTGACAAAATAATTTTAAATATTTTATTTAGCATAAAATAATCTACCAAAATTAAAATTCAACAATAAATTTAGCCACTCTCGAAAAACTGACAAAATCCGGACGAATTTGTAGATTATTTAATTGAAAAATTAAACAATTTGATTCCTCGTTCGTTTATAGCTTCACGATAATCATTAATTAGAAACTTTATAAAATCCAATTTAAATGTTGGCGAATTCTTAATTATTGTGGATTCCGAAAACTATGCATTTGTAGTGCTGGACCCTGCATAAAGATTTAATTGGAATAATCAGGTTACTATCCACCCTTTTATGATTTATTACCTGAGGACAACATAATAAAACAAATTTAGTTGTTATATCAGAAAAGTAGAACGCATGTGCATTTTATTTATTTCAAACAAAATTGATCCTATTTTTGAAAGAAAGATTTGATAGAGTGGCTAAAATTTATTATTTTTCTGATGGGTCAGTAACCCAATATAAAAATAAAAAAGACTTCATTAATCTCTACAATCATGAAAATGATTTTGGGATAAAGGCTGAGTGACATTTTTTGAAACCGCACATGGTAAAAGTTCCTGAGACAGTTTAGGCGGCGTTACTAAACGGTAAGCATCTAGAGCAAGTTTGCAACGCCCATTTAAACATCACATATTGACAACAACGGATTTATTTAACTATACATATTCATGGGTAAATTTTATATTTGTAAGCTAATGAACATATTAACTAAGGATGTACCGATATTTTTTTATCGGATCGAGCCGATATTTCACCCATTTAAAATATCGGTTATCGGCAAATAATATAAAATTTTCCGATCCGATCCGATAAAAATGGCGTTTTTAGCAAAAATATTATAAAATTTTTAAAAAAAGTTATATCTAAAAAACTATTTATTTTTATAAATAAAATTGAAATTCATTTTTATGTTTAATTTTTTAATAATAATTAATTAATAAACATTCTGCAATATTGTTATTTTTTTGCGCATTCTGTTTATAAAAGTGTGCAATAATCTCTTCAGAATCTGTTTTTAGTGAAATTAACAGTTCCCATCGCCGCAGACTGACCTCTGATAAATTGGAAATTTTGCTATTTCTAAAAAGAAATATTCGATATATTAATTTTAAATATTTATTTCAAATTTCATAATATATTTGTTTATTACTTATTATGTAAATAGAAATGTTATTACTTATTATATAAATAAGTGATTTATCAATAAAAATATTTTATATCCAGAATTGCATTTGAATTGAATATAAACTATAACTGATCATTATAATATATTTAAATGACATATGTTATGGTATAGTTAAATTAAAAGTATATTAATCATTGGTATCTTTAGGATACAAAATTAAAATGATATCGGATCGGTAATCGGCCGATATAAATTTAATATCGGATCGGCCTCTAAAAAGTGGTATCGGTACACCCCTAATATTAACATATAAAATTATCTTGAAAGCAGATTTTTGAGAGCAGAGAGAATTTCTGGAACATAAATGTTTCATGCTTTTATTCCCCTAGGCGAAAACAAAACTCAAAATTTATTTAAATTCTTTGGATGATTTAATATATTTTAAATATAAATTTTTGATAGTATTATATATAATTATGCAAATTAAGGCAAATAAAGTTATAAATATGTTTAGAATTATTTTGTCAAGTAATTTCGAGACAAAGTTTAATTAAAGTGATAAAAAAAGCACATTATCCCAGCCACCTCTCAAAATTTTGTTAAAGATAAAAAAAAGTAAAGCCCTATCATTTAGATTAAACATTATTTCATAACTATTTATTTAATTTAAATATGATATTTATTAAATTGTTCAATTTTAGATATATAAAGAGTCATAACTCCTTAAGCCATGTTCATCCCAGTCTAGGATTTTGTATAAATATTATCTACAGAAAAAAAAATTTGAAAAAATATTTATATCTATTATTTTTATGGCTATTTCCGATTTTATACATCGGGTTTTCGATTATTTTTATGTCATATTAAAGAACTATTATTAAGCTACATATACAATTTAAATTATTTCTCTAACATAATTATTTCTCGAGTTTATTGAAAATAAATGAGGTGCATTTTCTCAAAAAATGTACCATTTTTCCGCACTTTATAAAAGAATCTTTTCAGATCCTCATCCAAATTTTTAATATTATTAGAAAATAATCTGCATGTGTGTTGTTTTAAGGAATCTAGTATGCCTTTTCTTTGTCAGATCCTTTCTCTAAAGGAAATAAGTTCAAGCTTCCTTCCTTCGCTGAGATCTAGTTTTACGAGGGGTAAATAGCGAAATTATTGCTGATAATAAATATTCAATTGAAATAAAATATGAATTAATAAGAGGTTTACAAATGAAATATTTAAAGCAATTTTTTAATATTAAAATAATTATCATGGGAATGAGATTTCCCAAATGCATTTATTTCTCCTCTCTCTATAATCGAAAGAGCTGTAGGAACAGTTTACACAACCTATAAAATCATCACCTATGAAAGTCTAATCATTATCTGAAAATCTCTGTAATTTGGAGTTATCACAAGATTCGCCAAATTTGGAGCCATTCTCCTTAATAAGCCTACATCAATTTCACGGAGTTATAGAAAGAGTCCCATCTTGTTATAACCAGTTTAATCAGATATCCTATTTTTCCTTAAAAATGGCTGCACGGTTTGGGGACACAATTTATTACAAAGTGTAAACTTTTGTACCCTTAGTTTCCTTTTAGGTGTAAAAATGTTTCATATTGGAGATAAGGCTGGCTTTACTCACCTTCATCTGAAGAAAATAAACAATTGATATAACATTCTATATAAAATAAATTATAATATTAATAAGAATATAAATTTACATATATTGATTGATTCTATATAAATTAGATTAATATAGAATGAAAATTTATAAAAATTTTAAATAAAGATGAAGGAATTAGTGGTTAATGTGAACTAAAAACTCGGCTTAAATCATTTATAAAATTTAAGAAATAAATAAAAGTAATTTTATAATACAATAAAAGGGGTTTTCCCATATTTTTTAAGAAAAATCTGAAATAACGAGTAACGTTTTGCGTTAAAGTAACTCAAAAAAAACGCGTTACAGTTACTCTTTATCTATAAAAGGTAACGAATGACGTTCCCTTTCCCCAAAATTAGTAATGCCGTTACTTTTGGCGTTACTTTACAGCACTAGTTTAATTTACATAGTTTAAAATTTTATTATTTTTTAAATGTAAAAGAAATATATAGGTCGTTGTTTTTTGTAAATGATTTTATAATGCGATAAAAATAGATATATAATGTTTTTCGCTTTAAAAATAGAGATAATTTTTTTACGTTGTAAAAATTGTTTTTTTTGTGTTTAAAATTATATTTTTTTTTATATTAAAATATAAATTTAAAAAACTATTAAATCTAAAAAATAATAAATTAAAAGTATGTGTAAACAAGTCTGTAAAAGTCAAACACAATATTTTTTAGTTTAGAAATCAAAGGGGAAACTGGCTTACCCGGGTAAACCTGGAAATCGCCATTAAATGGAGAGGAAGAAGAAGATTCAAACTCCTTGTTTTAATTCAACCAGATTTAAGTGTTTTATTGGATCAATTATATAATTTTAAAACAAGATGTAATATTTATTACATTTATAGTTATAATTTAATAGTAAGCTTATAAAGATTATCCATTTTTAAGTCCCCCAGATTTTCATTTTTATAAACCCCAGTGCAACATTAATTGCATTGAATGGGCTAAAACCCTTAGGAGATATAAAATTTAAAATATAAATTTAACCTTTGAAATCCGCCTTTGGGTATAACCTTTCCCATGGGACTTTTTGCCTGTTTGGTAACGACATTATGTAACAACGGGCCTGTTATAATTAAATTAAAAAATATATTATGGTTTCTGAAGAAATGTAAACTTCATAGAGGAAAAAATTAATATAAATAGATTTAAATTGGTATTTAAATATAAAATTATGCCAATTTCAACCAAATTTGATTAATTTAGTCGATTGGTATAAAATTGTAATTTCATAAAAAAATTGACAACACTAATAATAATTAATCATTTTTTAACGAGGGAGCTTAAAATATTAAAAATTAACAAGAATACAATTAGAATTTATGGCAATTTTTTCTAAAAAAAAAAGAGTTTGCCTCCAAATTCAACCCAAATTTGTAGTATAAACCCAAAAGCATGGCTGCGACAATCAAGGCCTGATAGTGTAACATGTATTTTTTTTAAGTAATAATTATTTATTTTAACCTTTTCGTTCAATATGCATTTCAAATCCTCTTGAGTTGGTGATCCTAATATACTTAATATATGATTGATCTGATCAAGATCTGTTTAGGGGAAAAAAATTAAAATAATAATTTTAAAAAAATATTCATTTAAATAAACTAATACCCGCTTATACTAATTGCATTTTCGCGTTTATTAATGGGCGCCCATAAATCTCATGATTTATAAAACGAAAAAAATGCATAGGGCACATCCTACCTTGGTATCATTAGGTAAATAGTTAGATTTTAAAGCTAATATAAGTAGATAATACAATTGACAAAGGGTGGGATAGCGACATCTACAATAGGGGGTGTTCCTCGTCAGTAAAATCTTAGGTTAAGGGGAGGGGAAATTTTTTTACTTGTAATATTTAGATATTATTTTATTGTAGTCAATTAATTTTTTTTCAGCTTATGTATTGTAGAATCTTATAATAAAATATATTTAATTTGAAATATTTATATAAAATACTTAAATTCTTTATAGGTTACTGTTTTTTTGTCACTTTATTTTAATCAAAGAATATTGCAAATATAAGCTTTCCAATTTTTTTGTTTAATAAAAGATATTTTAGTATTTTTTATAGATCATCTAAATGATGTGGAGTTCAAGTGGATAAGGTGATTTTTTGTTAAACAAAGAGGCAAGAGTGGATGGTTAAAATTCGGCGTTATTGAGGTCAGGGGTAACCTTTAGGGTCACATCAGCAGCTCAGGGGATATAATTATTGAGACCAGAGTGTGAGTATTAATATTATGGATTCACATTGAACGTAAAACATCAATAGGCAACGCGACATGCTAAATCCTATAAGAAATCTGTTATAAACTCGATATACTGCTGAACTATTATTTACAGTTGCCGTGATCAATATTTGTAAAGACTTAAATAGACAGTCCCCGTTGTATCTCTGGCTAAACAACCTGCAAGGGATTAGGAATGGGTTAGAAAAGCCTCTAACTCACGAGCTGATCATCACGAGAGCAATGGGCAGTGATGTTCTCGTATTTTACCATCATGGTAAGCCAATATAAAGTGACTTCCGATTATAATGACGGAAATGACCAGAATCTAAAACCCTAAATGGTAGTCAGAAGAAAATAATAATTTTCACCTTATGATCTTTTTTTTTAATCTACATGATATATTTCTATGTATTTAAGTCTTAAAATCAAATTTTGAATAAATATATTTCCAGAATGGAATCATTCTCATCATCTATTTCCATTGGAATTTGAATCGGAATCGGCACGACATAAAATTGTCTATGGGGATGAAATTTTTTAAAGATATGTCCAACACTTGAAAAAAAACCGAACCAAATTTTAATTAATTGTAAAAAAAATAGCAAAAAACTAGTAATATTAATTTTGTATAGAAAATCTCATTTCCTATTTCTCAAGTTTTTGCAAATGAATCTATATATATCAAGAGATATTCTATGCCTGAGGTAGAGATTTTCCGTTGGGTGGCCGAAGGCATAGGAGTTTTTTCCTTAAGGTATTTAGGAAAAGGATGCTTAACAGCTAAAATTACCTAGAATGTAAGTGAAAAGGTATATTTCGAAGTTTCGACGGCCGTGATTGCTAAGATTTGTTGATTTGATTTAGTGAATGAGTTATATGCAAGGATGAGAAACGTAAATCTATTAAATATTTTAATAGACACATGTAAAATTTTATGAGCTAAACCAATATAACCAGCCTCACTTATGAAGATGTTGATGGATTCTGAACAAACAACAATGCTATTTTCATCTAAAATGGAGCGTGAATATAAATATTAATGAAATGGGAAAAAAGTCCGAGTCTAATTGAATCCGGATTTTATAACAGGTGTTTAACGGCTTTTGCATATCACCTAGAGGATGATGAAATTTATTTGAAGCTTTGGAATAGTTAGATAAATGAATGGAGTTTATTCCTTATTGAGAAGATCATTGTCTTATAAATCAAACGAAGGTATGCTCTCCATCTTTATTATATAATTTTCTCATTATTTCCCTTTATTACAGTTATTCGACAAATAAATTATTATGTAAGGTATATTTTATCCTTATTTTTCAATTTTCCTTAAATTTCCCTCAGAAATTTACATCTCTAAATAATCCAAGGTTTGATTGTTAATTAATTAGGGAATATCTTGACAAATTTAAATAAAAAAAGGAAGATCAATGTCACAGCAATATTTTTATAGTTGACTATCTCCTTGATGCATTTAACATTTTTTAAAAAAACATAATGCCCTTCTCTATTACCAATTAGATCGAAAAAAGATAATTATGTGACTAAAAAATAGGTACATTTAATACAAAATCCTAAAATTTTAAGAGGGCCAAGTTAATTGATATTTAGTGGTCAACTCACAATGTTTGCCGGGAAAGAGAGGTTTATTCGATAGCATCTCTCCGAGTATACAGCCCACGGACCAAATATCGATGGATTTGGAATAACCCCTCGAATTAAGCATAATTTCCGGAGCTCTGTACCAACGAGTGGCGACGTATTCGGTCAATATACCAGTGTGATCGTGAACGGGGTCGGCTACTCGGGCTAAGCCAAAATCGCATATCTTTTATTTAAAATAAATTGTGATTCTATACACACCAAACTTTATATTAATTAATTTATTTTAAGGATTTATTAAAGTTTTGATGAATCAGAAATTTTTGGGGACCAAAGATATTGACTAATGAATTTCATACGTACTATAAAAGAATAGAGAAGACCAGAATAAGACAAGACAAGAAAAGAAAAGACAAGAAAAGAAAAGAAAAGAAAAGAAAAGAAAAGAAAAGAAAAGAAAAGAAAAGAAAAGAAAAGAAAAGAAAAGAAAAGAAAAGAAAAGAAAGAAAAGAAAAGAAAAGAAAAGAAAAGAAAAGAAAAGAAAAGAAAAGAAAAGAAAAGAAAAGAAAAGAAAAGAAAAGAAAAGAAAAGAAAAGAAAAGAAAAGAAAAGAAAAGAAAAGAAAAGAAAAGAAAAGAAAAGAAAAGAAAAGAAAAGAAAAGAAAAGAAAAGAAAAGAAAAGAAAAGAAAAGAAAAGAAAAGAAAAGAAAAGAAAAGAAAAGAAAAGAAAAGAAAAGAAAAGAAAAGAAAAGAAAAGAAAAGAAAAGAAAAGAAAAGAAAAGAAAAGAAAAGAAAAGAAAAGAAAAGAAAAGAAAAGAAAAGAAAAGAAAAGAAAAGAAAAGAAAAGAAAAGAAAAGAAAAGAAAAGAAAAGAAAAGAAAAGAAAAGAAAAGAAAAGAAAAGAAAAGAAAAGAAAAGAAAAGAAAAGAAAAGAAAAGAAAAGAAAAGAAAAGAAAAGAAAAGAAAAGAAAAGAAAAGAAAAGAAAAGGGAGAGATGATTTATAAATTGAAGCCCAAGAGAGAGAAAGTTAAATTTACCAGATGTCACGTGATTTTTATCGGTAGTTGGTTGTTTTAATTTAAAACTTTAAACTAGGCTTTAAAAAAAGAAAATAGGATTAATAATATAAAACAAGTTAACTTAAAATTAAAGATCAATGTAAATAAATTGCCAAAAAATGATAAGGCCAATTCATTTAATTGGTATTTGATTAAATTATTTCGAAGTCGATAAAATTATTCTAAAAAAATATCAAACCTTTTTCTTCTGTTAATTATATATGTAGTAAAATATCAATATTGGCATTAAAGGTTATAAAAGTTGAAAATATTAAATATAGCCATTTTTCGGGTAATTAATTCTCAAAGATAAGAACTAAAATATTTTTAAAAAATATGTTTACTATTGATTAATTATTAACGAGTTAACAATAGTATTTTTGAGAAAGAGAAGTAATAAAATATATAATTAATTATTTTTGATTAAAATATCGATTATATGATTTTGATTAATTATCAACTCATTCTGTGCGAACAAAATTTTGTATAATTTTAATTTTTTATATCTAATAATTTCGTGATCTGCGTCGGGCCTAAATTTTTTAAAAAATGGGACTTTTGCAGAATTACTTTTAAATCACAATTGGTGTTAAGTAGCAGATTACTGGGCTTTAAGTCCCTGTGGATAACATTGGCCGAGTGAATGTATTTTAGAGCCCTTAGAATTTGGTAAGTAAAATAGCAAACGTGATCATTGCCCAAGGACTGAGTCTTAAGCAATTTGTAAAGGTCGGTTTCCATAAGCGATTGAACGATATAACTTGAGAGAATTTTTTTAAATTATAGATATTGATTAGTTAAGAAAAATATGATGAATTCAAAATGGTAATCGGTCAGAAGTGTCCTGGACATAAAATCCCGGACAATGACAGTGGACAAGACAAAATTGGGGTATTTTTGTTCGAAGTCTTTTTGCCTGACATCTATTTGCCTATTGTCTTTTTTTCGAGGTAATCAGGGTAATTTTATTAAGGATATATGATGTCTGGGATAGATCAAAAATACACCAGTTGCTTTCGTCCTCCGTTCCATGTAATTAAGTGAGAAAATATCGATTTAAAATAAAGAAAAAGCAGGCAAAATTATAAAAAACAATGTTTTTCCAGATAATCTTAATTAGGAGTTAGTTTAATAACTCAAGCGTATCAATAGATGTCCCGCATCGGCCCCCAGGTCCAATTCGGCCAGAGAAAAAAAGATTATTTTTTCCGACACAACTTTACGTTTTTTATTTTTTAAGGCCGAATCGAGATCTGAGTCGCAACCGAATGACAAAGAAAACGTGTTCAGTTAGATATGACAGCTCCGTGCAAGGGATATATAAAATGCAAGATTATACGGTTACATTCGTTAAAAAAAATAATATTTATATACAAAATATTATTCATTACACATCTTTCATTTCGTCCATCGTTGGGGCGTTTATGATATCCTTTATATCGATTATCTTAAATTTTCAACAAAAAAACATTCATTTTATTAATTCGTTTTCATAAATATTATTATTAACCAATTGTTTTTGTAATAAAATGTTTCAAGCGAAATTTTATTAGATAGTTTTAATTATTTGTAAATATTATATTCCTTTATTTTTTAGCTATTTCTATTAAAAAATACAAAATTAATTAAAAAATTTATGTTTACTTAATCGATATATTTTTATTTCGCGCACGTAAAACAATTTAAAAAATCTCTAAAAAATGAATCACTGACATAAATGGCTTGACAAAGGCCTGGAGAAAAGTACCCCAATTTTTGGAATTTCTTTTGTCCATGGGTATTTTTTTTCCAGTGATTTTGTCCGGGTCGTTTAGTACAATATATTTATGACAGTGATTCCTAAAAAAATAACCCTTTGATTTAATCATTAAGTGGTTTCAGTTGCTATTTAATTCGAGGACCCTTAAAATATTTTTAAGAAGTCAATGTCAACCGTTTTGGTTGGTGTTATATAATGTCGTTAGGTAATTAAGAAATTTAGTGTAATTCCATATCTGGCAGGGAATTGTGGAATCAATTCTTAAAGTTCATATCATTGATGACGCAACATTATTTTAATTTTTTTAGACGATTTTTCCGGAATTATATTTCGCAATATGCACAGTACATACCCTATGAATTTCAAGTAATCAAGTTTTTAATTTGACTCGATTTGATTTTTTAATTATTAATTATGGTTAACCCAAAATTTCAAGGCAAAAATGTCTCATGGTGGGATATGATTCCAGCAAAATGATGTCTTTTAAAATTTAAATAACGAGCCCTATAAATTATATAAACTTTAAGGATTCTTCAATAAGCAAAGATATTATAATTTATATATATACACTAGTATTTATTATTTTATGTAGAATTCAATTTAAGAGAAATTATGTTTAAGACAAATTTGAAACTTTTATTAAATAATTCTTTGAAACTATGAAATAATCAAAAAATATTTTAAATGAGAAACTCGGAATTAAGTGATCCCTTCATGTTGAAAAAGCTAGCGAACGCCATTGATTTGTTTATATTCATAACATAAACCCAAATTTAAATTTTTTTTAAACAAAAAATAGACATTCAAAATTGGTATAATATAATTTTGAGTGCAGCTTTAAAATAGACACGGTTAATGATTGCTAAAGAGAGTAATAAGGTTCCTCAATTTTTACTCCAATCTCGTGTTATCCATTATTATTGTCCCCTCATATTTAATATTATAATTGCTAAATTATAAAAAAATTTATTCGAACCAATACAATGTATTTTTTTTTACTAACCTATATTCCAAGTAAAAACCACAGCATTATATTAGGTAACTATTTCGTATATTAACTATTTATAGACATTTTTCTAACAATAAATCAGTAGCGACATAATCTAACAAAAATATCTTTTGTTTACTATATTTATATCGTTAATTTTTTTTTAAGGTTTCGATTTTGGCAATCATTGCCGATAGCTCAAAACACGTAATTATTTCGAAAACAAATAGTATAAAAAAAATTTTGGCCAAATAATCGTAAGCTTAAGAGGCTTACTGAAATTAATTGCGTCTTGAAATTTCATTTAAAACCTGGCCAAGTTTGTATTTTGCTCAGTCAAGTAATCAGAGTTAAAGTAAATTAATCAAAAAATTATGGTGATAAATATAATATACGGAGTGGCTCTAAAAAAAATGTCGCGTTTAAGATTAACTCAACGCGTCATTCGTTTTTTTAGGAAATTTTGTGTTTAATTTTTTAAATATATTGTAATGTATTTTCAGTAGTAGTAAAATATCAAAATCTTTTTATCCTTTTATTTAGTATACAAAATCAAAATCTTATTCAAATTAATATCAAATTATATAATAATGAAAAAATAAACATTTTACAAAAAATAACAAAAACAACAATTTAATACACAACATATATGAATCTGTATACCCACCAAATATATTAGAATTTGATCGAAACGTTTTTTTTAGAAAATTGAGATCAAAAATATTAAAATTTGACATAAATTCAATTATGGGACGGTGTTGACACTAAATATCAAATCGGGGCCGATATTTAGTTTTTTTTTAAATATTAGAGACCTGCAAAGGTACCATTTGCACGGCCCCGCCCGATTTTTTTAAAATATATTAATCTAATAATGGCGATTTAAAATATTCAGTTTTAAAATATACGGCCAGGGTATTTAAAAAAATTAAAATACGGCCAGGCTTGCAGGTCTCTGAAAAATATCGGATCAGGTAAAATTTAATTTACTTTCTAATGTTTTTAAAAAAATCGAATTATTCTAAAAGATTTTATTTGCTAAATAATTTACAACAATTAAAGGATTTTAAAATGTCTAACGAATCATATTCAGTTATTGTTGATTAATGGCTTCGATGTAGCCGATCTTTTAAAAATGGCTAACTCAAGATTTTAGCCATAAAATAAATAACCTGAACTCAGAGTTTTGCTAAAAGATGACAGAAAGGGTTGGAAATCTATTGACGAAATTCGATGATTAGGTAACCATATTTTGACTAAAATCCTCAGCCATTTTTAAAAATGTGCTAAATCGAGCCGTTCAACAACACTATATTCATCCATAAATATTGCTCTATTTTAAAATGAGATAACTTCTGGAGAATAAAAAAAACATAATACACTTAATTATTCGTGGTAAATAAAAATCAATATAAATATAGGATCGGTATCGGTTATCGAGTCGGTTTTAAAATATTATCAGAATTTAAAATATTATCAGAAAATGTCCAATCATATCGGTGAATTGAAATAATAAATTATAATGCAAAATACCAAGCATATATTGAGATCTTAATTTTAAATACAATTAAAGCATTATCAAAATACATATATAATAAATAAAACATAATATATTGTATCTGTCCTCTTTTATTTTGTATTAACCCGAAAACCAACTTGATTTTTCTGCGAAAATAATGGGTCATTTTTCATAAATTTTTCCCTCGATTTTGTCTACAGATACAAAAAGGTATATCAGGGGTCTTATTTTCTGAATATGAATCCTGTATATCGAAGTGACTTTAAAGCCTGCTGAACTGTACCATTCTTCTTAAGGAATTCAGAAATCAAATTTGGTGCATTTTAATTTTTCTCTTCGTGGTATAATATTATCGTTTGCTTTTTTAGGAGGTGTTAATAAAAGGCGTTTAATAGGAGACAGGGGTAAAAAGCTTGATATTGTGCAATTTTATTATAAAATTTTGAAACAAAACAGAACAAACTATATATTTGTATGTAGCCAAATCCCTCATCTACAAAATTTAAAAAAAAGTATAATTCTCTACCTATAATACTTTAGGAGCTATGACTAATTATGCGAAGTGTGCCATTTTCGCTATTTTACCCCATACCCAGGGTAAAAAGCTAAACATCAGGGTAAAATGAGTAAAACGTTGAAAATAACAATGTTTTATTGAACAAAATAATGCATACTTTTAATTTTAAACTAATCAATAGAATCCGAGAATGTAAATTTTTTTTATCAAAAATAGCACATTTTGAGTTGCCCATTTTAAGCACACCGTATATTTCAATTATTCTTACCCTTTATTTTTTAAATATTATTCCAAATAACACACCAACTATTTATTAATGTTCTTTTTAGCTCAAAAATATCTTTTTATATGGTGTAGGCGTTAACATTTAAAAATGATCTTATTATACATCTTCAATCAGACAGAACATTTTAACCCTTTTACCCATAAAAACTTTACCCGAAGGTGATATACAATATACAGATATTTATGATAATTTCAATTTATAGCTATGGCTTTAAGGAGCATGTATACAAATTTTTAAATTATTAGCCTTAATACATTTTGTTAAAAAACAATATTTATTCAACGTCAGAGGGCATATGCGCTTTATATCACGTATCACGTAAATAAACTGGAGGATGATATAATATTAGTGCAAAATATGTCAAACCAGGAAAGTTTTTGAGATGAACATGGGTATGTAATAATAAAATATGAAAATAACATCTTCACACCAAATTTAAGGTACTTATGTTTACGGGTTAAAAAGTTATTCGCATGGTTACCCCGGTCTCCCCTGTTCAGATTTGTATTGATAACCTAAGTTTTTTGTGTTATATAATATATGATTCGGGAAAAAATTTGACAAGTCGATCATCATGTTATACTCTAAAACCATGGGAGCCCATATAATGAGAAAAAAAAATTACTTGACGGTCTTAAGTTATTTTTAGTCAAATGTTAGCATATTTGAATCTCAATTTTCTATAAAAAAAAAACTGCAGACATCCAATTCTAAAATTGAGGATTTTAAGTTTCATATATTTATTTATAAAATAATGATTGACGCGTTTTAGAAATTTCTAAACGCGACGTTTTTCGTGGGGCCTCTGATATATATGTCGTATTGGGCTATGTCTATTGGCATATGGAATATAAGGGGATACTAATTCTCTTAATAATTTGGAAAATCTAATATGACCGGATGTATTGCGGTACGTATAGAGTACTTACACTGTTAATTTCAGACATTTTAGCCGTGAATTTTATAACTATCCTCAAATTATATTTAGTGAAGTACAATTATTTTTCATCGGATAGGGTCGATATTTCACCTATTTTGAAATATCAGTTATCGGCCGATATTATAAAAATTTTCCAATCTAATCCGATAAAATGGTGCCTTAATTTTTAAAAAAAATTATTTCAATTTCATAATATATTTGTTTATTACTTATTATGTAAATAGATTAATGTTATTATATAAATAATTTATCAATAAAAAATATATTTTTGGTTTCATGAATATAAATTATAACTGATCAGTATAATATATTTAAATGACTTTGTTATGGTATAGTTAAATTCTAGATGCTATACTATTAAAAAGTATATGAGATGAGATGTATGCATTAAAAATTATAACGATTACTATATTTACAGAATATAAAATTAGATATGATATCGGGATCGGTAATCCGCCTATATCAATTTAAAATCGGCAATATCGGATCAGATCGGCCTCCATAAATTCGTATCGGTAGACTCCTAACTTAGATTCATTTTTATAATATTTTATCGTGTAAATTGATTGATCAACAAAATTTAATAAATAAAAATTGCCTGAATTTCAAAAGGGCGATGTTACTCGATGTAATACATTTCCGGTTAAATCAGATTTTCCAAATTTAAAAATCGTCCTTAAATAATATAAAATTAAGAAATTAAGAATTCCTATAGATTCCATATCCCAATACGATATAATATATAGCAAAATATTTAATTTAAACCATTTAAGGTCATATTATTATTTACATTATTTGACATATTATAGTCATTTTACATTTTTTTTTAAAAATATATAATATTATAACTAAAATTTTACATTTTCATGATTGAACCGAACTAAAATCTTCATTTCTCTCAAGGTCCGTTGACAGTATGTTTGGTGTTCGAACGGCGAGATCTTCTTAATCGCGACGCGGGATTTATTTGAATTATCATCCGCTGAACTAAGATTCATAAAAGAAATATAAAAATCATTTATTAACAAAAAAAGTCTGAAATCTTATCTAATAATATTATATTAAAAAAAATTTCATTTATTCATGCCAATTTAAAATAATGAATTATATCCCATATGGCAAAATGATGAAGTTAAGATATATCAATTCTCATAACATTAAACTTGTTAAGGCTTCATTCAAATCAAACATTTAGTAGCATAGTTAAGAGGAGGCGCCGAGACCGCTGAAAACTATAATTTACCTTTGGTTCTATTTTTTGCAAATTTTAGGCAAAGAAATACTTTCTTGTGCTAATTTTAGATACATTTTTTTTCATTTTAAATAGAATTAGACCTCCTTTTTGTTAATGTTTTAAAATTCTTTAAATATGAGCCCCTCCCCCCATCCCTCAAGTACAAAAACTAACGATGTCATTGCAAAATTTACAAATCTTAAAAAAAAGGTAATATCAAACTAATATATATAATAAAATAAAAATATTATATAAAAACCGTGGTGGGACTACAAGTTCCCAAAAAACAAAAATAATTATATTTTAAAATTATGATTTGTAGGTTTTGTTTTAAGAAATAAAATTCTTTAGTTTCTGATGTAAGGGCTCTTATCTTATCCCCTATATTTTTTAAAAACTTTAAAGTTCCACTTGGCATATGTCCAAGGGAAGAGATAACAATCGGTGTAAAAATATAATTTGTGAATTTGGAATATTTCATTGTTTTTTTTTTCTCGGCTATATCAACCGGATTAGAATTTAAATTTTTTGGGAAAGAAGATACGCATGTGAAGTCCCAAATTAAGGATTTCCCTAAAGACTAAGGCACGGAAGTTAAGCCATCAGGTCTTAGGCCATCATCTAACGATAAATTTGTAGGCTCCAGGATGTTTGGTATTCGGGCCCTGGTAAGAGAACGGCTAATAGCTAAATTAATTGCTGCATGCCTTGCATGCCTGCCTTGACTATATATACAATTTAGACCATGTCTCCCTTTGGAGTCAACTAATGTTTTACATTTGATGCATGTATGTGGTTGAACAATGTTACATCCAAGTCGATGGTCTATGGCAACTCTTAATTGTTCATCTGATAAGAGGTTACCTAGGTTACGACTTGGTAATGCTTCCAACCATTCATAACCACTAGTACAGTCAGCATTCTGTAATAGTTGAATATACTCCAAAGGGGGGTTTGATGAGATTATTTTAAAATAATTTTTAATTAAAGGTTCGAAAATAGATTGGTGTGTTAAGATCGTGGGTAAGACAGCTTCAGGTGGAGCTAAAGATACCCAGGTTGTCAAGGCTGAGTTTAAAAGGTTATCTTTAGGAGAGATAAAAGAAGATATCATGGCGTTATTCATCAAACGCGATGCCAAAAATGAGGAAAGAGATAGAAGGTTTAAAGGATATGAAAAAAAAAACAATGAAATATTCCAAATTCACAAATTATATTTTTACACCGATTGTTATCTCTTCCCTTGGACATATGCCAAGTGGAACTTTAAAGTTTTTAAAAAATATAGGGGATAAGATAAGAGCCCTTACATCAGAAACTAAAGAATTTTATTTCTTAAAACAAAACCTACAAATCATAATTTTAAAATATAATTATTTTTGTTTTTTGGGAACTTGTAGTCCCACCACGGTTTTTATATAATATTTTTATTTTATTTTATCATGTTTTATACATCACGAATTTAATAAATATAATAATGATTGATTGATAAGAAAATATTTTATTCAATCAGGATTAAAAAATAACTAAAAATATAGCCTACACTTTTTTTAAAAAAATAGGTATATGTATATCCTGTACAAAATAGCAAACCAAAATCGGCTTGAAATATATTATTAAAACAGAGTTTGATTAATAGATACAATAAAAACATAGCTATAATTCAACCAAAAAAAATGAAATTGTAAGTTTAAGGTTTCATTTTTGCTATTTATGTTTCGGCCATCTTGTCTGAGATCTTGATATATTAATTTTTCCGAAATATGTTGCAATATCAGCCATTTTGAATAAAATAAACTCTACCAATCTTTACGAGATTATATAAAATGATGATATACATTTTTTTTCATAATTTTAATAAAAATAAAAAAAATTATCGATAAACTGGAAGCCTACAAGATAAGTTATGTATTTATGTATGTACGTTGAATATCAAGCAAAACCGTCTTGGCCTTTTATATAAAATGCGTTTTCTTCAAGCCTTGCGCGTTATTTATCAAATATATAAATAAATATAATTTACAAATATGGATATGTTAATAAGAATGCCATGAAAAAATTCGAAAAACATATGTTGTGAGTGTGACGTATATTTCGAAAATTATTAACGCTATGAAGAATCAGCTGTGATTTCGATAGCGCTAAATAACGCAAGGCTTGGACATAACGCGTTTACTATAAATGAGACCTTACAGAATAAAAAAAAAAGATGATGATAAAAATAGCACTGACGTGTTATTTGTGTCACGTAATTTAATTATCAATTTGTAGTAAAATTTTGAAATTATAGCATTTCATACGCCCTTATCTTATATATATAAAATTATTTAAATTTTCAAAAGTTATTAATTTAAATTAATTTTAAAAATAGTATTTGAAATTTGTCAATAAAAAAATGTTAAAAAAAATAAATTAAAATTTGTACGCTACTTACTATGTATTTGTATGTATTGAAACTAATTCATATATTTTAGTATAATTTTAATAGTAATTAATGTTAGAAAGAAGAATGTTTAAATAAACCAATCCTTATTTTTAATAATAATAGGCTTAATTCTGGTTTATGTTAAATAAAATAATCCTTCAAAGATAATATTGTTTATGTAAATGATAAATATATTTTATTATTGAATAATATATTATATTACAATTCTACCTAATTAAGGCTCTTAGAACTATAATCTTAGCCAATCGAAGGAATGATATTTCTTTGGAGAAGGGGAAATGAATTATAAAAGTTATCAAGAATTTGAAATTAATGTGAATATTTTTTGGGGGTAATGTTGAAAATTTTGAGTCAAATGAAAACCCAACTTTCCGATCACTGAAGCAGAGAGAACTTGAGCTAAATAAATAAAATTGCATCTAGGGATAGAAATAGATTTAACTTTATTAATGACATATTTGAAAACACTTTTAGAGGGATTTAGGACTAGTAGTGAAATCATGGATGAATAATCACAGGCTTAAGACAAATTCATGCGTTCATAAATCATGGAAAACTAAATATTAAACATATAAATTTATTAGTAAAGTCTTCTAATTCATTATAGCGACCATTTTACTTTGATCCCATAAAATGTAACATTAAGATAAATGCTAGCATTTTTAGACCACCTACCTCTCTATTTTGAATATTGACAAAGATGTTTTTGATATAATATTGGAAGATTATTATAAATATAAAAAAATAAATTTTTTAAGCATCATTTTGAGTTATGAAAGTGATTCCAAAAGTAAAATGGAACGTGAGCCACTTATAAAAAAAGGTCAGAAATGTTATAGCAAATAAAGTTATTTGCTGTAGAAAAATATCTTGACATCTTGTTTTTAGCAATAAAAGAAACACTTGATATTTATTTCAAAAATTGAATAGTAATAATAATTTTAAGAGTTACTTCTGAAAAGTAACTTGTGAAAGTTACATCTTTAACAAAGTAATTAATTAGGTACCCATTACGTTATTTCAAGGGTAACTAGTAACTTTATAAATAATTTATATAACTTCATCCCGATTTAATTTTTCTTATTATTACAAAAAAATTTCTACAATTTCTAAATTCTAACTAAATAATAAAAATAGAATTTAAAATAATTGTACTAAAAAAATATATCACATATTTATATTTTATCAAAAATATGTAACTTAAGAAATTTTTGTTGGACTTTAACAATAAAATAAGCAATTTTAAAATTTCCTAAAAATAAGCTTCACAAGTAGTGTTGTTAAACGGCTCGTTTTGAGCCGATTTTTAAAAACGGCTAACTCAATATTTTAGCCAGTAAAAATATTGCCTAAGCCTCGAGATTTTGCTAATAGATGTCCAAACCTTTGTTCCTTCTACAAACAAAATCTTCAGGCTTGTGTAAATTCTGAATGAAATATTGAGTTTGCCGTTTTTAAAAATCGGTTTAAAACGAGCCGTTTAACAACACTATTCACTAGAATAAACAAAACGTCCTATAAAAATATATTATGTAAATGCGACATGTAACTTTAAATTTGGGAAACATCATATTATAGAGGAATGAGATTTGGTTATTCAATTCTAATCTTAGATGACTTACAGACATTAATTACATCCTTTAATAGTTTATTTTTTTGCAAAAAAAATAAATATTAATATTCTTTATTTTTAAATGTTATAGAAATAAAAGGCTAAATGCATTTGTGTTTTTTATTTATTTTTTAATCTGACCATCTCTAAAACTACTTGTTAGGCCTAACTCATATTTGGCAAAAAAAGTGCAAACCAGTAAAATAATTTTATCACTAAGGAACATGGATTATATATACTAAAGTTTCATCTTTTCGATGAAGGAATAAATAAAAAAGGTGAATATTTATGCTTCCATTATTTTCATGAAATTTATTGGAGGTTTGTCTATAAATTTTGATTATTTTATGTGAAAAAATTTTTGATATCTATTATGTTTTTAGAGTTATAAAAATTGTTTTGTTATGACATATGTTTAGTAATAAAGAAATCTTTTGGTTTTGAAATTACTAATTTATGTTCATGTTAGTGGCAATGTAATTTTTCCTTTTTTGAGCACGTTACTTAAATGTTAAATAATTCAGAAATACATTCCAGTATATGTAGTATACCTATCTTATGAACTGTAGGCAATTTTGCCATTAACGTTTCAGTAATTTATAATAATTTATATAAAAAATCTATGAATTAAATAAAATAAAAAAGTTCATGGCAAATTTGTCTAAGTTTCATAGAGTAGATACCAAGTATGATGGGATCCATATCAGATTCTTAAATTTAAAATAAAATGTGCTCAAAAAATGTTTTAAAGTTGAAAAATAACACATTGCCACTAAAACATATATATAATGGCAAAAATCCTCTGGCCAATATTATGCAAAAGAAATTACCCCGACTATAGTTAAAACCAAAATATAACTATGTATAACTGGTTCACCACATTTATTAAATTAAATAAAGATATACTAAATAGTAGTGTTGTTAAATGGCTCGTTTTGAGTCAATTTTTAAAAAAGGCTAACTCAATATTTTGTCTAGAAAAATATTATGCAAGCCTCAAGATTTTGCTCATAGAAGGAACAAAGGTCTAGGCATATATTAGGCAATATTTTTCTGGCTAAAATATTGAGTTAGCCCTTTTAAAAAATCGGCTCAAAATGAGCCGTTTAACAACACTACTAAATAGCCCATACATTTTTATTAATCATAGTTTATCCCTATTATTTAAACAAAAAATAATTCAATATTTATAAAGAATCATTTTGCCTCAGTTACTAAATGCCAAGGCCATAAAATTTGTGGTGCCATATTTTATGATAATGTTTTTGAATGAAAAATTGTTCATTTTTTTTAATTTTATTAGAACATTCAAAAATTTATCTTTTTGATACCGTTAATATATCTTAGAACTTTGACCAAATACTGGTTGGTTGGACTTATAGAAGACATTTGCTTAGCATATATCAGATTAAAATTTTAATTTTGGACAAAATCTTAAAATTCGTTTAATGTTTTTACAAATCTCATGAATACAAAATTCATAAATTAAATTATATAGAAGATTAAAAATATGAAGAGTATAAGATTTATATATGCATATAATTGTAATTTACCAAACCATCCCATATGCTCCTTCACCAATGTAAGCTAAGTTTGTATATTTTGGTCCTACATCATATATTTGTCCTCTAATAATGTCAGTCATGATAATTCCAAAATCAAAATTGAAACTGTGATTTAACTAAATATATCGTAACATAATTATTTAATATAAAATTTGAATTATTGTAAAAAGAAATTGGCTGAATTTCAGTAATGATGTTTAAAATTTCATATCTGACAGGTCATGTGGTATTGAAAGATAATTCAACATTTGATATTTTGTCAAATATTGTTCCATTTTTATTCAATTTTAAAATATTAATTTTTGATCCTTGTAAATTATTTTCCTTCATATTGCTTGGATATTTATAAACAATAATCTAATATATTCAACTATTTCAATTACTTATTGAGTTTGAATTAGAAATAAAGAGAGCCTGTAAATATATATGCGTGAAACTTAGAAAAATGGGATTGTGCAATTTTAATATAATAAAAAGTCATTTTTTTTTATATATTAGTATTTAGTATATATGTAGAATAATGATGTTACCCATTATAAATCAAATCCTAATGACCGACAGGAAGGATCATTAATCATAGATGTTGATAGAGTTAAAATAATTGTTAAAATATTTATTTTTTATTTATCTTGTTTTTAAATTACATATAAATATTGAATCATAATATATTCGTAAATTTATTATATATATATACTATGTAAAACAATATCACACAAAACACATATATCAGTTTGAAATTTTTCCTATAAAATTCTTAAATAAACTTAATATAATCTTTATAATATGTTTAAAAACTAGTCTGACTTCGTAAAAAAAATTAATATTATATATAACGTTAAAATTATTAATATTTAAATAAACGAATAAAATTTATACTTCATTCTCTATAACCAATATTAGAAAGTCTTATAGTTAAAAAAAATAACTAACTGCTATACTAGTTGATTCCTTTCTTAAAAGACACCTAAAAATAGGTTTATTTGGCTTAACCAAATACTACTGTACGATCACAAATTTAGAAGATAAAATTTTAAATATAAAAGTGAAGTTTAAAAATTGATTATAAAAATAATATAAATACCAATTTTAAAAAAAACCGCTGTAAAAATAATATATAAATTGAAACATAAAGAGGATTTGGAAATAAACAAATAAAAACATTTAAATACGTTGAATACATTAATAGTTATTTAGGATTGATATTAATTGAACTTATTAGATTGATCTATAATCAATGACATATATGTCATTGCATTAGCATAGCTAAGGGGGGGGAGGGGGGTGGGGGGGGCAAGGGAAAATTCCCCCCTCCCTCTTCACAAATTTATCACTTTTTGTGAATATCATTTTAGGAATAAAAAATATCCCCCCATAGTCCTCCCCCCACTCCCTGACCCCAAAAAATGTATGCATATATCTTAGACAATAATTTGTAAGAAAGAATGTAAAAGTTGATATTTTTTTATAAAACTATTCATCATAATTTATACATTTTTGCAAAAAAGCATTTATATATAAAAAAAGTGAACTAAAAATGTTTTTTAAGAAATGGAATATAAGCCGAAAAGGCAAAAGTGAAATGTATTATAATTATTAATAATAGATCCATAAAATTACTAAATAATATATCAAATATAATTTTTTATAAAGTGAGTAATTTTAATTTATTTATCTTAATAAAAGTAAAAAAAAATTATAAAACTATTGATAAATTAAATCATAAATTAAATAAAAATATTAAAGCACAATACAAACAGTGGAATATTATATGTCGTAGATTTACAATATATCTTATTTTATCAATTATCCTATGACAATCATATAATTTTTACCAATATAGCGAATTATATATTTTACAGAAAACTATAAAATATTGATAGGAACATCAGAAAATATCATTTAAAGACATTGTGGAATAAATAATATGATGATTATTTTTTAATATCAAGTTTTATTTAAAATAAATAGATGGCGTTAAATAATTGAATACAAATTGTTGCTATATTTATTATCAAGAGCATTGATTAGTAGAATTTGTTAAAATATTAACTGTAATATATTCTCTAACTGTCAAATATGTCTGTAAAAGTAGAATTTTACCTAGTATTTTGTAACTAATTCTATATACTATATGTCTACTTACTTTTTATAAATAAATTTCTTATACTTGTTTGGAATAAATTATTACCATGCTTTTATATTAATGTATATACAAGTAATTTATTATATTTTATAAAAACTAATAAAAATATATTTTATATTTGTTCCAGGCTTATTTTTTATTAAAATTAACCTCCTATCTTGTAAAAATATTTTATGACTATATATAGACTAAGGTAACCCGGGCGAAGGCCGGGCAAAAGCGGGCCGAAGGCCCGCTTAAAATGGAGTCTGAAAGCGAAGCCCCCGGTAATTTTTTAATTTCCCCCCCCCTTATGAAAATCCTGGCCACGCCTATGTGTCATAATATATGCAAAAGAAATAAGTTAAAGAATATATTGAAGAAAAATATTGTAATTAACGGAAAAATTGATGGATAAGAAAGAATAATTTATGGTATATCTATATTTAAAAGAGAAATAATGGAAAGTAAATATCATTAACGATATTTAAAAAAATTAATATCGTTAAAGATTATGAAAAAGAAAAAAATGAAATGGTAGAAAATAATTTAAAAAATTAAAATTTGAATTTAGAGAAATTAGAAAAATAGAAAGAAAAAGATCGAATTGTTAAAATAAGAAAAATTGGGATAGAATCGGAAGGGAGAAATTTAGAAATAAAATAAAAAGGAATTGGAGGAATAATAATGGATGAATTGGGAAAATTAAAATTAGAATTGGGAATAGGAAAAAATGAAAAAGAAAAAGAAGATTTTAGAAAAAAGGAAATCGAGGAAATAAGAAAAGAAATAATGGACGAGATGGAACCTAGGAAAAGGAAATAGAAGAAATTGAAAATAAGAAAAGGAAAGAAATGGAAAGAGTCGAGATAAAAAAAAGGGAGAAGGAAATTTTGAGATTGGAAATGGGAAAAAATGAGAATGAAAATAAAAGAAATGGAAGAGCAGATAAAATGTGTGAAGATTGAAGCAGAATTTAATTAGGTAATGAATGGCAAAACGTGTAATGAAGTTAAAATCGAAGGAGACAGCCGCAGATGATAGGGCCAAGTGGACCCTGTTTTGTTTTCAGAAAATATGCTCAGCAGAGAATGTGAGTAAATGATGCAGAGAGTTTTACTTATGTGTTTGTGGAAGATGTCGTAATAAGAATCATAATTTATAAAATTTCTATGTATCAACTTATAGATTAGCAGAGGATATACCTAAAATAATATATTGTGAAAAATGTGGGAAAGGAGGACTTCATTACAAATGTATGACTTATGAGCAAAGATGAGCATTTCCAGCGGTGTACACCGGATATAAATCTAAGAAATATACAAGATAAAGAGATAATCTATGGAACATTATGATGGAAAGAATACATCGGATATAACATGTTTTAAATAGAAAAATAGGACATTATGCAGCAGATTCTTCAGATATTTGACTGTATGGTTGCCAAAGGGGAAAAAAGGATTATTACACAGGAAAAATCTTTTAATCAAATTAATAATACGACAAATAAAAATAAATTAGACATAAAATAAAGTAGAAAGGAGGGAAAATAAAAATAATAATTATCCGATTCATAAAAATGAGTTTAAAAAGGTGAAATAATGTATATATTAAAAATGGTAGGAAACCAATCGTGTAAATATGTAAAACAAGAACGTCCGAGAGAAATTAGAGAGTTTTATAACAAGAAAAATGAAATAATGGAAAATAAAACACCGGTGAATTTTAAAGGGGAAATTGTGAAAATTAATATTTTTTTAATATTCTAGAAATATATGAATTGTGTAAATTTAGAGATAAATTAAGATGTAATAAAGGATAAAAAATGGTAGATCAAATATAAGAAATGTGTGAAATAAAAACTTTAATAAAGGAGCGATATCTTAATAATATGAGAAATTAATTTTTGGAAAATAAAGTATCGGAGATTGGTAAAATTGAAAATATGGTGAATAATATTTCAGAAATTCTGAATGATACAAAAATTATAAATATTGAGGCAAATCATGGTCACTGATATTTTAAACAATAATTGTGTAAAGAGAAAATGATAACCAAAGTTAAAGATTAAGTTCTTGAAGTTAGAAAATGATATTAGTTTGGAAATTAATAGGGTTAATATAAATTTAGAAATTAATGATGAAATAAAGGGAGAAATTTTCTTGGTAATAATATGATAAGTTTTTAAAATATGTATAGAATTAAATTTTAAGAGGTAAAAGTTGCCTGTGTCATAAATATTAAAAAATTTTTGTTGGAATGAAATAATGTGATTAAAGTAAAATATATTTAGAATTAACTTGTGTGTAAAAATTGCCTATATCACAAAAATTCTGGCGAAATTTGTAAGGAGAAAAATGTAAAGAACGGTTTATAATAAACAAAAATGTACAGGTGGAAGAAGTGGAAGCTTTGACAGATGCGTGAATAACAAAGGAAAATTAAAGCCTGAAGATCAAAATAAAAATCGAAAAACTTCAGTGTTACATTTCTAGTCGTTTTGATATCTTATATGTTCTACCTTGACAATTATATTTGAAAGTTAAAGGTTTAAAGTGTATATATATAAAGTTGTGTATGTATTTAGAAATTTTAAAAGAATAAATTAAAACTAGGATTTGCCCCAAATTTGATAACCAAGAGATAGAGGATTATGATGGCTATTTAAAAAATTGATTCATAAGATTAACAAGCAAGTATATCACAATACTTCCACAACTAGTACAAGCCGCGATCGTCGAAGATACCTTATGTTCGTCCTATTCCTGATCCCCAAGAGCAATGGAACCACTGTTATATTTTTCCAACGTTTCGTGCATCTTTATTAAGTAGCTTTTCCGACTTAAAACCATCCCAATGATTGCCCCTGCAAATAAGATAATCAAAATCAACTTGAAATCAGCCTTCTACTTTATCCCCCTATCCCAGGGTAGGCATAGAATCTTCGGATATGCCATGATCAAATGCTAAATACCTCCCCCCATGGGATAAGGGGTTTTCCCTCCATTCCCCTCAAAACGGGATTCTCTGGATCTGTTCGCAAAATCA